GACCCCCAGGGGGAGGGCCTTCTCTGTTGGAGCCCCCACCCTATGGAACGAACTACCCCCAGAGATCCGGGTGATTCCGGATCTCCCCTCCTTCCGCCGTGCCCTCAAGACATGGCTATTTAAGCTAGCAGGACTGGCCTAAGGGGTATTTTAATTTGGTTTTAAAATAATTTTAAAAAGAAAAGGCCAATAATTAATATTTCATTTTAATTACATTTTAAATTTAGTATTATTGTATTAGGTATCTGTTTTAAATGGCTGTAAGCCGCCCTGAGTCCGTTGGGAGAAGGGCGGGGTAGAAATTTGAATAAATAAATAAATAAAATAAAATAAATAAATAAAATAAATAAACAAGCCATGGATTGGTACTGCTCCGTGGCCTGGGGGTTGAGGACCCCATTTTTGAATGGTCACAATTTACATTATGAATGAATGCATGGAAATGCTAGCTAATTAGACCTATTTAATTTTTTTCCTCATGAATATATTATCTAATTTTAGAAAGACTACTGAAACGTCTTCTCTATACAGATTGACACTATTTTTAAAAAAATCAGTGCACTTCAAAGCAAAGGAATGATAGAACATAAGCCCCTTCTTGCATTTGGTAATTTACAATTGAATTGAAGTCATTATGCTACTAAAAGATTTTGCTCTTTCCTTATTGCTGTTGCTGAATCCAAGCAATGTGTGATTATTCAGCATATGGTAGAACTGTTTCTGAAACTTCTTAGCTTCTTAGCAGAAGTCAAAGCTAAATAACCAGCCTTGTAGAATCAAGAGAAGGTTAGATTAAAGTTACAAAACATCTGGGCACAGCCGGTATCATTCACAACCCAGCCAAGGAGCTATGTCTCAGGAATGGGATATCAGAACTGTTTGATTATGATAATTGTGATGGCAAAATGTTCTATGTATGTTTGGGTTTACGTAGCCAAAACTGCATCATTTGGGGAACACACCTCCAACTTGGATTATATGATTTGTAGATGTCTAGATAGTTGGCATGGCTGGGACATTATTCTAGCTGGGGGCAAAGGTAATACTATTTAGTGATAGCTATCTTTGCTGAATGGCCACAGAATATTAAAAACCTTTGGGGAAACTTAAATATATGGGATGAAACTTTGTAAGAAAAAGGAAATTGATCTGACTGTAACTACTGTATTGTAAAATAGGTATGTATGTAATAAATCATCCACTACTACACAGCCTCTGTTTCTGCTAATATGCTCACTCCAGAAACTGATGATATTCAAATTTTGGATCAATTCATTTGGAATCAACTCTACCATTTTATATTAAGCTTATTGTATATAAATTGTATTGGCATTCTAATGTAAAATTTATTTTTAAATCTAAGCATAGCATCAAGCCCACAAAGATAATCCTAATTTTTACATTCTGCTAAAATTGTATTAAATAAATTGTAATTTTTATAGATACTATTAAAGGGGTTGTAAACAACTTGGTATGTACTGCAAGAACCTGGATAACAAAAACATTGACTTGGGTAAATCTGTCTTACTGCAAAGTTTGTGGCCATGATTTGTGTAGGCTTGCGAAACAACAGCCTCCATTTTGTGCAAGTGCATCACACAATCTAACATGGAAAACATCAGTTTATTCAGAAATTCCTGGAACAGAACTCTTCTACAACTGCCTGAATTACCATATTTAGTAGCAGTGCTTAGTTAGTCCTAAATTGTGGTCAAATGTTTGTGAAGAAATTGGGAAAATCATCCAACAAACATTCATAATGAAAACTTGTTTTGCTAAGTTGTTATCAGTTAAAGACTGAGCTTGTCAGCTGGAAAACTGACAGCCCTAGTTCAAGACTTGAGTACTGTGAGATGGGTTGAGCTTCCATTATTTGCCTCAGGTCCTGCCCACCTAGCAGTTGAAAAGCGTGCAAATGCGAATAGATAAATAGGTACCTCTTTGGTAGTGAAGTAACATGAGCCTCGGCGTTTAGTCATGCTGGCCTCATGACCAGGAAAAATGCCTTCAGACAACCCTGGCTACCTCAGCTAAGAAATAGAGACGAGCACTACCCCCTAGAGTTGGACATGGCTGGAGAGGAGAAACCTTTACATTTATCTTTATCATCCCTTCATAAAAATGTAGCATTTAAAAAAAAATAAAATCCAAGTCTTAGGTTCACTATTACAAAACATTTTATAATAATGGGGGGCATTATCATGGGAAATTTGCTTTGGCCAACTAATACAATAGCAAGCAAGTATAGTTTATTGAAAATGCTCATCATTTCCTAGCTATATTTCACCTATTATATTACAACCATTTTTTTTTCAAATTCTATTTTTTTATTTTTATCTTTTTTTCTTATCTATATAAATAAAAATGTAAATGTTCGTTTGTTCAAAATCTTAAATCTCCGAAAGTTCTTCACCGATTGCTTTGAAATTTTGACACACAACGTTGCACTCGAATACGCGCGTGTTTTTATATACCTACTATTATATAGATGTCACACCTGTGACAGGTAAAAACATGATATATTACAAACGTGTGCTTTCTCTTTTCTTTCTTTTCCATTTAACCAGACTGAGCCAGAGCAACGCGTGGCTGGGTACAGCTAGTTTTTAATTAAAGAAAAAAAACCTATTCCAAAGCCGATGGTAAAATAAGTTAGGCTTTACTCTCATTGGGAAATTTTAATATTTCATTATGTTATTTTATATAGGTAGTTTTTTAATTTTCTTGATTCAACCTTAATGTTGGAATTTATTAAGGAAATTTTCCTTTGATCTCCTTTTCTGCTTTTTCTATCTGTGTGTGTGTGTGCGCGCACGCACCCACACAGTTAATTGGTCTAAGCAGTTAAATAATTTTTTTCCTTTGAAATTCTCCACCATCTGGTAGAGTAAATCTCTTCACATTTTTGATGTAGCAACTCCGCTTTGCGAAAGAGAGATACGGTGCAAAAGAAAGCATAATAGGCTCTTAACAATCTACCGCAAAGCGAAGGAGATACAAAAGTCTTTAATGTGACCAGCTATTAGCATGTGGAGGAAAATGACGTATAAGGATTATTTCCCACTGTTAACTGAGTTCCTGAAATATAAGCATTTTTAATATGTCGCCTCTTAAATATGTTCTCTTTATATCGATTTTCCCTTCACATGGAAATTGGTTTTAAAAATGAAACTGGGGAAGAGTTAAGATACAATCCATTGGGACCAGAGGAAGAAGATGAAATAAAGAAATATAAGTTATTCATTTGAAGCATAAAATCTAAAAGCACAAAAGAGTTTGTATAATACAGACTTCCTACCTACATGTTACTGTCTGTTCTCTCAAAGAATAACTGACCTGATAGAAGGGTGTCATGATGTAGCCTACACATTGATGTAGGCTGTGAATAAAATGCATAGGGTCCTCTGTCATCAGTTTTGGAAGTTAGGGAGAAATACTGCAAGTATTGCATTACTGTCATGTTTTACGAGCCTAATCCTGGCTAGCCTTTACTATATACATTTTGCTTTATAGCCTGTCCATCTGGAACTTACAAGCCTGAAGGATCACCAGGTGGAATAAGCACCTGCATCTCATGTCCTGATGAGAGTCACACTTCTCCACCAGGAAGTACTTCTATGGAGGACTGTATATGCAAGGAAGGTTATCGTCCTAGAGGTAAATCGTGTGAAGGTAAGCTATTTCTTAAAGAAACAGTTCAGTTAAAAATTAACATGAGTAATGCTTCTTACTTGAATTTGTCCACCTGGAATGTAATATGTATTTCCATGGAATCTATAAAGATGCATTTTCCTTCGTATCAGAAGTGCATATGGCAAACCACAGTAACACCAAATAGTAACACGTGATTTATGTGATGATCACATAAATGCCCCCTTGCTTCTGAATATCTGGCCCAAGGATGTACATCACATCATTTACAGGATGATTTCCTCAAGTGTGTGTTGTATTGCCAATTTACATCTCCCTTGTCCCTTGCAAATGCTCATAGTTTCTGATGTCCATGGCTATACATTGTACAGAAGGAGAGGACAAAAATTATTGTAGGCAGTTTTCTTTTCATTTGTTGCACTATTTTTAAGGCACCTTCAGGAGCTTTCCAAGAACTTCAAGATTTTAGGCACACACTTTCAATGCCCTTTGAAATGCAAAAAGACATGAATGAAATAGAAGTAACATGACATGCGCAATCAATGGATATTGATTGTAAGATAGTACAAAGAATTTTTTTTTCAATTTTTGTTTTCTATAATCAGTTTAGGAATAACATGAAGGACAATAAAGTTACAGTCTTTAAGTTAAGTGAATATCTTAAAGGAGATATTTAATATCTGGAAGAAATACCTATTGAACTCACTGAAGTTCTGAATACAGGTAGTCCTCGACCTACAACAGTTCGTTTAGATTGTTCAAAGTTACAGTGGCACTGAAAAAAGTAACTTATGACCATTTTTTACATTTATGACCCTTGCAGCATCCCCATGGTGATGTGATCAAAATTTAGATGCTTGGCAACTGACTCATATTTATGACGGTTACAGTATCCCAGGGTCATGTGATCACCTTTTGTGACCTCCTGACAAGCAAAGTCAATGGGGAATCCAGATTCACTTAACAACCGTGTGGTTAACTTAACAACTGCGATGATTCACTTATTAACTGGCAAGAAAGATAGCAAAAATTCATGTAATAAATATCTCACTTAACAACAGAAATTTTCGGCTCAATTGTGGTCATAAGTTGAGGACTACCTGTACAATATTGTGTTGTGTTGTGAATCATTATAACTGTTTCTTTACTGTTGTGTATATCCTAATTAGTGGTCCATTGCCCTGAGCTGCACCCTCCAGAAAATGGCTATTTTATCCAGAATGTCTGCAATAATTACTTCAATGCTGCTTGTGGAATCCGATGTAAAACAGGATTTGATCTCGTTGGAAGTAGCATACGACTTTGCCAGCCAAATGGTGCATGGTCTGGTTCAGAGACAACTTGCAGGGGTAGGAAATTTTATCCTGGAAAAACAGTTGCCTCTCTGTTGTTGGGTTGGCCTTTTAAAAAACTTTAAAAACTTTCGAGTTGGGAAGAAGATGCAGTTTTCTGTCTTATTTGCTTAGTATAATACTTCATTCGTGCATGCAGTAGAATTGATATGGAATATAAAATATCAAGTTTCATTCATATGCAATGAATCACATTTGGATTACTACTTTTTATGCATATATTTTATGCATATGATGTTTGAGTACAACTTTAAAGTTATATCAACAAGTGACCAGGGGAAAATTCTGGACAGCTTAGGAAATATCTTCTTGATTGGTTACTTCTCCCCAAATGACTGCTTCAGAGGGAAATACCAACCAGTTATCTTAACTGCACTAGGACTAGAATCAGGATCATTACTCTTTTTTTTTTATTTTTTAAAATAAATTTTTATTGATTTTTATAATTAAACAACAAAGATTATGATGCATTTACAGGATCATTACTCTTCTACACTTTGTATGGGTAGGGTAATATTGTACATCCATTTTCACGTCTCTCAATATATTTGAAGTATGAAGAATTTTGGAAAACACTTTTTAGTGTATTTGTACAGAAGGGCTTGCTTGTCTGTGCCCCAACTTATATTAATTTACATTGAGCTCTGGGCAAGGAAATTGCCTACTATGATTTAAATGAAGGAGTGTATTTGTTCATTTTATTTTTTTGACATATGAATTACCAGTAATCAGAGTGTAAACTTTCAGTAGGAAATTGAAAATACTGCTTGTGCCAATAATCCTCCCTCCATGTATTGTAACCAATACTTTCAAAATCTGAATATATACAAAACATTAATCAACAAATATAGGCAGTTGTCATTCTTTTAGAAGTAGGTTCAGCAGTACAAAGACAGCAGTTGCACAGAGAACTCAAGACAGGGACTTATATTCTTCTTTACTGGCTATAGCAAAACTATTTTCAGAAGGTATTTACAAGATTCTGGCTTCTACCCAGTGTTGTGTTTCTTCTTCAGTCTCTCTCCTAGAGACAATTTTCCTCTAACTCTCCTTCACTTCCTCCCTCTTCACTTCTTCTCCCTCCTCCATTTCCAAGATTATCAAAAGAGAATAAAAGGAAAGAGCCTGCCCGATTTACCAATGAGTGTGCTCAGTGCTGCTCATCTCCTTTCCTTGGATTCACTCAGCCAATCATTGTCTATGTTTTCCTTTGTTGGATGGGAAGAAAACCTCTCTTGGAAGTCTTCTGCCCAAACCTTCCCCAGAGGCCAGGGCTTCACCAAAGAGGTATGATCCGTACTAGCTCTTCTCCTTCTTTCCCATCTTGGGTCTTGGATAAAGATGACCTTTCTGGGATTTTGCTTCTCTATGTCTTCAGGGAAGACATCCATTGACTTTTCTTCTCTGTCTCCAACCAGGAACCAATCACTGCTTCACATACTCACATTGAGTCTACTGTCCAACATTTCTCTACAAGCATTCCCTTCTACAATAATCTTTGTACTTCTCATTTTCTTCCTCATTTCTCCCCTGGTTTTTTTTTTCTCCGTTTTTGGGTAGACTGTAAACTGTAAACCTCAAAACCTATACACAAGGATAGACCAATGGGGGTGCTGTCTGCCTCTGCCTCACGACGGTACTGACTAGTCATCAGGTCAATTCACTGGCCTTTGTGACAGTCAAGGCTTGAATTATGCTGCTTCTCCCTTTCTTCTCTCTCAGTTTGCTGACTCACAGCAGCACAACACAGGCCCTGAAAAAACATCTGCCGCAACGTCCTTATTAAAAATATAAACTTTATGGAAATCATTGTCAATAATTACCATTGCAGTGTTTTTCTATATTACTGATTCTTCCTCTATTAACTTTAATAGGGGGGGGGGGTTTTCTTCCAAACTACCATGTTTAATTATTTACTAAATAATAGACCTGCCAAGTAAAACAATGTGCAGTATATTTACGAGTAAATAGGTATACACAACTATTTAGAGGACATGTCTATTAACATTATATTGTAATAAATAATGGATTCAGACAAAATTGCAATCAATCCTGGCTTGGTCTATCTTATGGTTTTTTTGGTAATGCCTTTAAGTCAGTCTTGATTCCTAACAACTGCTTGGACTAGTCTCTGAGGTTTGTTGGTGACATTTTCGGAAGTAGTTTGCCATTGCCTTCTTCCTGGGGCTGAGAGAAAGTGGCTGGTTCAAAGACACCCAGCTGGCTTTATGCCTAAGACAGAACTTGCAATCTCCTGGTTTCTAGGCCAGTGCTTTTAACCACTACTGTATTCCAAAGTGGCTATACTTTACCTTACTTTCTGAGGTTTATAGGGTGTTCCAAACGTAAGCTACCCTGATGCTCAATTCCATACTATAATTCAGGGGTAGTCAACCTTGGCTCTTTTATGACTCGTGGACTTCAACTCCCAGAATTCCTGAGCCAGCATAGCTGGCTCAGGAATTCTGGGAGTTGAAGTCCACGAGTCATAAAAGAGCCAAGGTTGACTACTCCTGCTATAATTCAATTGAAACCTAATACAGGATAGAACTAATACTAGTACAAAATGTCACAGGGACCATATCTCAAGATCGTTAGAAATCTAATCCCCATCCCATCCGCCAAGGCCTTTCAGAAGAGCCAAGTCTTTATGGCCTTTTGGAATCCTAGCAGAATTGGAACTATTTTGATACCTTATGATATGCTGCTCTGGGTGGGGAAGGGCTGGAGCAGAGAAGGTCCCTTCCTCTAGTCTCCTGATAATAGTGTTCCTTTGAGACCGGTCCCTGTGGCAAGACTTCCCTTCCAGATCTTATTAGGCAGACGGACTCAGTTCGGTTGTGTAGCTACCCCAAGTGTATCCATTAAACTGCTTTTCACTTTGTTATTTCTGTAGAAACTGTATTTTCTTCTCATTTGTTGTTTGAGTTAATGGAAATGAGTTGGTAAAAGATGTCATATGTTTTGGCTTTTAACAGCTAGCGCCTAATGCTCTTGCTTCTTTATTCCATTAATTGCCTTGGCAGAGTCTGAAAGATAACCAGTTTTATCCTCTCTGATCTTGGTTTTCCAACAGTATGTACAGTTTTTAGTACTGTTATTCTCAACTTTAGAACGTGGCTCTTCTCCACTTATACATTAATAGAGCATGTTTTGAGCAAATGGGATATCAAAGGAAAAGTTTATAGACCATCACATTAATCTCAACAAAAGCCTTTGTCCCAGATTTTGATCATGTACGTTATGAAAGGAAACAGAAAAATATGAATTTCTTCAGGCAATACTAGACTGCTTGGTTGAATGTATATAATTTCATTTTGTATGCTCTTTTAGCAAAATATGGCACACGTACAGTATGTCACTAAGCACTACTTAGCATGCAGCTAAAGAACACACAACAAAGGCCAGGCAAAACTCTGACCAAGAAGTTAGCAACTGGTCATTGTTTTACACATGCACTTACTCATTGCGTTGTGGAAATACTTCAGAAAAGATGCTTTGCAGAACATGGGTTCATGATGCACTTTTTTTTGAAGCTTTAAAGCAGCCATGTGTTTCCCAGGCTGCTGCACTTGTTCAGAGCCATCCCTGTATACTCAAAGTGAAATGGCTGAGTGTGCATATGCACTCAGAGATAATTGGGAACCCAGCAGCCATCTGATCCTGGGAAGATGATTTAAGCAAATTCATATTGAGGCTCTTAAGTTTTTGCTGTATGTGTACATGTGCAAATGCTATAACCCTGCTTGTATTACAGTACACACCTGAAATACTGATGTGAATATGCTATAAGCAGAATACTTACTATAGTGAAAGTAAATTAACTAGGATAATAAGATTCACAATATAGAAAATAGATGGAAGAGCATGGAAATTGTTTTAAGAGTCCTTCGTGTATTGTGAAATCCACAAGGTGGTTTTCATTTCGTTTCTCTGGGAAGATGATTCTTTGACAAATGAGCCATTGTACATTCAAATATTGAGCATCTGCCTGTATTTCATGCCTACTTGTTTTTGTTAGTGCTCTGTCATTGACACATCTTTGAGCTGTTACTAGTTCATTTACTGTAAAGCTGATTGCAAGTTTGGCACATGGAGGTTCTTTCTGCTCACTTTGGCAGTTCTCAACAAAAACGAAGAAAAACAAATTCCTCTGTTTCTTTCTTAACACTTTTTGTAATATTTTGTCTCTGTTGCAACATGGTAGAAAATTATGCATTGTCATCTTACATCAGATTTTTCTTAAATCCTGATTTCTGAAACCCCTTATTCCTATGAAAAAAACCCATTCTGTTTTGAAATAATAGTGAAAAAAGTACACCTGTTAAGAAGTCAATAATGAATGATTTCCCAGAAAAATCTTTATAAAGTATTTCAGGACATTCGTCAGCCATTTGGGGGTGGGGAGAGAATAAACTCCAGTGATGCTTTAAGCAGGTATTCTTGAGCTGAGGTTTGGCTTGTTGCTGCTTATGTTCCTTGCACTATGAGGCTCCTTTTTTATTTGATGTGTATTAAAATAAAATTGCCTGGTTTCTAAACTCTTAGATTTTTTTTTAAAAGAAGCTTGAAGTTTGCTTTTTATGACATTTCTTGGACCTAGGGACTGACTCTACTTCGAAGAGGCAGGATATGGGTTTTGAACCCTCCTCTTTCATTTCAGAATTGAAAGATGCCTCTTTCAAAAGTATATGAGAGAACATTTGCCACAAATTTATATGAGACAAAAGTCAGCTTAGCTATTTTTATCATTTCCCCAAAGAATGAAGTGCCAAGTACTGTAGAAGGAAGGCTAATTAAAAAAAAAAACTTAAGATAGCAGAACTAGAGAGAGAGAGAGAGAGAGAGAAAAAGGGTGTGAGTAAAAATAGGTAAAAGAGTTTGCATTTCCCCCCTAATATTCCAGTATAGATGGAGATAGTTAAAGAGGAAACATAGTGGGGAAAAAGGTGAAGATTTGTTCTTACTGTCCAGGATCTTAGGTGTGAGAAAAATACTCCAAGGTAAGATACTTGTCCTGCAAGACAGTCTGATATTTCCAGGATAATATACAGTTAAAATTCTCTATTGCAGTTGTTATCCTGTGAATATCTCCCAAGATTAGAGATCTATTGGAGTTGAAGATATAATATTCCAATCTGCACTCTACATCTGTTGCATATAGTTTAATTGAGGAGTGTGTGTATATTTACACAAAAGATGGACATGATACGTATATCTTACCCAGCTAACTCTTAGTATCACTTACTCTTACTAAAAATGCTTACACATGTATTTTAATCTCTGCAGTTCGCACATGCCCCAAACTCTCAACCCCTCAAAATGGCCATATTAATTGCTCATTAAGTGAGATCTCTTATAAGACGGTGTGCTTATTCACTTGCAACGAAGGCTACGAACTGGAAGGCCACACCAAACTTACCTGTCAAGGCAACTCTCAGTGGGATGGGAAGGAACCAAAATGTGTTGGTATGTTTCAGATGCTACAATGTATATCTTTAGTTCCCTTTATTTTTTAATAAAATTTGTTTGGTTGCTGTTTCCATATAATTTACCATACAGCCTTCAGCAGCCTTCCTTTATGTCCTTCCACATCACTTTTTTTAAAAATGTATTACGTAGAGTATATGTTGGTATGAGAGAACTGTGGATGCTTGTTATACTGTACAAGTCAGAAGGAGAAAAAAAATCTGATGTTAAGCTTCCAGTACCCCAGAGAGGAACTTTCAAGACATAATTGCTGGTTATTGTATGTGATAAAAACATAAAAATTATAACAAGTTAGAACAGTGGTTCTCAACCTTTTTAATGCCGCAACCCCCAACCGGTCGTAAGTCGAGGACTAAAAAGGTTGTAAGTCGAGGACTAAACCGGTCGTAAGTCGAGGACTAAACCGGTCGTAAGTCGAGGACTAAACCGGTCGTAAGTCAAGGACTACCCAACCGGTTGTAAGTCGAGGACTTTCCCTGCCCGGGAGCGCTGCGCATGCGTGGTTCCGCCCCCTGCGCCGGCCGAGGCGTAGCTGGCAAGCGGCAGAGACAGAGCAGGCCGACCACCAGCTGGCCCAGTCCAAGGGAGGTAAGGCACCCGCCAGAAAAGGGGGAAAAAATGGCGGACAAAAAAATGGCGGACAGCCTTGCTTGGCGACCCCCGTGAAATGGTCGATCGACCCCAAATGGGGTCGCGACCCATAGGTTGAGAACCGCTGAGTTAGAATGATCAATACTGATTTTCTCTTTCACTTCATATAAAACATTTACTCAAGTTTTCATATAAATATTTGCATTTGTAAGGAGGCCCAATGCTGATGCTGAGCTTGTCACCAGCTGACAGCCTGGGTTCAATACCTGAGCACTGCACAACAGGGTGAGCTCCTGTTACTTGCCCCAGCTCCTGCCCACCTAGCAGTTAGAAAGCATGCAAATGTGAGTAGATAAATAGGTACCACTTTGGTGGGACGGTTCTGTGCGCCTTGGCATATAGTCTTGCTGGCCACTTGAACTGTCTTCAGACAATGCTGGCTCCTTCTGCTAAGAAAATGAGATGAGCACCACTCCTTAGAGTCAGACATGCCTGGACAGGGGAAACCTTTACATTGCCTATTTGCATTTGTATATGAAATGTGTTTTCAATTTGTGCATGTTGACAAAATGTACTTCCTTTTTTCCAGAGTTGCGTTGTCCTGCCTTCCAAAAACCAAAAGGTGTTATTGTTCACCCTTATATTTGTGGGCTTGAACAATCAAAATATGGAACTATGTGCAGGCTCAGTTGTCCAAATGGATTCCTTTTGTCTGGTGTAACAGAAGAACTGAGGTGTTTACGCACTGGAAAATGGAATGAAAATGTGCAGTTAGCTTTTTGTAAAGGTATGGATTTTGATAATAATTTGTTCTGGTTAAAAGAGAAGAGTTTTAAAAATGTCTTGAAGAAAGGTTATAATAATAATGTCAAGATTAGAGAAGCCAAGATTGAGATAATTAGCAATAGTACTGTATTATCAATAAAAAATCTTTTTTTGTGTATACATGTTAAGGGAATGGAGGATATGGAAATAGTTTGAACATTTCATAACCTATATTTTAGTTTTGATTTCAGATACCTTTGTTTTTATTATGTTGGTGGTTTGAAATGAGCTTGCATTGTTATTTGAGGGAGAGAAAACTAAACTGGATAAAGCCAGATACAATAGAAGTAAAACTTTATCTGTATACAGTATAAATATTGGCCTGAAATTATAGCTTTGTAGTAGCACTGTTTATTTCAGCTAAAAGCTAACACAAATTTATGAGACCTATGTCTGGCATGTAACAGAAATGATATTTTTCAATGCCTCGGTTACAGGATGAATGGTGTGACTTCCATCTTCCCTTTTTTAGCCTTAGCTGTGGTAAAATGTTACATTTGTAATAGGCTTAATCCTAGACATCATTACTCTTTTGGCCATTTGAAATAGCATTTCGCAGGTATTAACACAAAACCACAATTCAGTTTGAATGCACTAACTTCTCTGATGGATGTGGCCTTACAGAATTGCAGAGAAATTTAATACAGGTGTTATATATTAATTAAAATCCACAGTAGTGGGATAATTAATGGACTTACTTGGCTTAAGGCAATTAAATATATTCTAGACCTTATCTATTCTGCACAAGTCTTCATTACCCAGTGGTTTCCTGGCAGGTGACATATTGCTACTTATTTTATTTGCCCAGTTTCTTGAGCCTTTTAGAGAGGTGTTTTTCAACCTTGACAACTGTAAGATGTGCGGACTTCAACTCCCAGAATTCCCCAGCCAGCACTTGAAGTCCTTATATCTTAAAGTTACCCAATATAAAAAAACATTGTTTTATAGCATGATCCATTCTTCATCTTACAGACTGTAACAGTTCTTCATAGCTGTCTGTTTGCTTCCATTTCTTCTTCACATTCCCCATTATATCCTAACCCTGGGTTCCTTTGGTGTTAATTTTATTTTGTTTAAGTCTTTCTTCCATATTCTGTGCTTCCTGGCCTTTTACAGCAGTGGTCTCCAACCTTTCTGGCACCAGGGACCAGATTCATGGAAGACAATTTTTCCACAAACGGGGAGGGAAGGTTTCACACACAACCTAGATCCCATGCATATGTGGATGAAGTTTTGCTCGCTCGCCCATCGCTTACATAGCCCAATTCCTAACAGGCCACAGACTGAGAATGGTCTGGAGCCCAGATGTTAGTATTGCTTTGCAGTGCCTTCTCATCTCTCAGAATTTCTTCCCAGTTCTTTATCATTTGATATTTGGGTTAAACAGCATCCATTTTAAATAGACAATCTGAATCGGGACAAATGTTCTTGGGGCAATTTAAGAATGAAGGAAAATCAAAGAAGTTAAGCCATTTATCAACATTTTTGCCACAAGCACAATGCAGTTTCAATTAAATTGATGTTTTTCCTTTTTTTTACTAGAGAAATTATGAATTCTGCTTCATGTGTATGTGTATTGTGATGCAATTGGATTTTAGAACTGTATTGACTTATGTGATTACTGTGTGTTCTTCCCTAATTGAAATGGAGATCATTAATATAATTGCAAATTTTTAAAAGTCTGAATGCCAGGGAGATAAAGACTTTGTTTAATGGCTGATAATATTGTTGATGTGTTCTAAAATTTAAAAAGGAATCCCAGACAAAATCTGGTTATTTCTAATTACTGTAAGGTGATCTTGCACCTTAAAACTTAAAATGTAAATCCTATACCTATTTTTGTAGATATCTTAGATCGTAGGATTTATTTATATAGCCGTCTACTCACTCACAGTGACTTTAGGCAGATACTTGTTGTTTGTCATGAAATTGATAATTTATAAACAATTGTTGCTTGTAGATGTAATTCTCTCTTCTGTAAGCAGACAAAATGTTATTGACATATGATTAAAAAGAGTACAAGGACTGCTCTTAGGTTAAAATAAAAAATAATGGATCTGAATTTCAGAAAGCTCTGTTCAGGTTATGAATAATTAGCTCAGTATAATATGTGTAGAATTTTAAAATTGTTTCATTTCAATGCCTTTCGATAGATCATTTTTTCTAAAATAGTTGAAAATGTTTTTTAATGCACCTGCTCAAATTTGTCCTATATATTGTATGCAGACATTGAACCTCCATATATTAGCTGTCCAAATGATATTGAAACATCAACTCTGGAAAACCAGAATTCAGCAAATATTAGCTGGCAGATTCCAGATGCAGTTGATAATTCTAAAGACGAGGTGAGCAAACATTAGAATGCAAACTATATTTTGCATCAGCATGTATGTTAGTCATTATTGAAATAACACAAATAGCACTTCCAGAAATTACTACATTAATTTCAAATGATGATGGAGGTGATTAAGCCAACATTTTCCTTTTTTGGCTCTTGATTTGAGTCATTTGTGAATTGTATAGTTCATCAGTACAGAAGGATAATGAAAGAACAAGAGAATTGTTTTATTTTTTGTTGAAAAAGTGTTTTTTGTGTATGTGTTTGTTGCTAAATAAAATAGTAGCTGCATGGATTTGCTTCACCAATGTAGATAGGTTTTTTTCATATGGGCAAGTAGTTTGCCTCCATCATTCTTAAATGCAAGTTGCATGTATTTTATATAGCATTCAAATTGCTTTTTAATCAACGTGCTACAGTTTTTCATGGAGTATTGCAACGTTGTCACCAAAGATCATCTTTGAATTAAGGAGGAGCTGAAAGCATTTGCAAAGAAGAAATCCATGCTTAATCTTAATTTCTTCTTCTTTGACAACAGAGATCACTAGTTCCTGATATTTAAGTTTAGTCTTTGCTAAGAATTTACCACAGTATTTCATTTAAGACTGATTCTGTTACAGGTGCTAGTTCAGGTTACTCCAGCCTTTATACCACCCTACCTTTTCCCAATTGGAGAAGTTGACATTACATATACAGCAACTGACAGAGCTGGCAATGAGGCAAGATGCTCTTTCAAGATCAAAGTGATTGGTGAGTGCTATTGAGAATATATATATATACGGCTTAGTATCTTAGATTAAATTTGATGGCCAGCCCGCCACCCCACCCTAGCACTGATTAAATAGTCATACCTGAAAACAGCCCAGTCTTGCATTTGGTTGCGTCTGTAAGGAAATAAACTTCCCGTTTTGTAAGCATCCTGTCAGTATGCAAAACTACCTTATGTCGAAAGCTGTTATTAATATACTCATGGAAAAATATTTTTCCCTTTTAAGAACAGTGAAGCTAAAAATCTTTCTTTAGAAAGAGTCTTTAAACTGGTTCAAATACAGCAGCCAGGTGCCAATTAAACAATGTAACTTTGCTCTTCTTTCAATTGAATTAGTTAACCTTTGTGGTTTGTTTTTTTTAAAAAAATCCAGGTGTGTTTCTTTAAGAACATCTTGGTTTCATATAAATGAGCCCTGACTTTAGAATTGCTGCAAGAGCTCTGCATATTGTGTTATATGCATATTTTACAAGTAGTCCTTGACTTGCAACTATTCATTTATCAACCGTTTGAAGTTAAAACAGCACTAAAAAAAGTAACTCATGGCCACATGAGCTTGGGGTCAAAATTCAGCCATTTGGCAACTAGCATGTACAGTATTTACGACAGTCACAGTCGCAGCATCCTGAGGTTATATGATTGCCATTTGTGACTTCCCAGCTGGCTTCTGACAAGCAAAGTCAATGGGGAAGCTGGATTCACTGAACTACATAGTTCATTTAGCAAGGATAGCCATTTGCTTAGCAAGTGTGGTGAAAGAGGTCATAAAATTCAGGCATGACTCTCTTATGCTTGCTTAAGAAATTCTGCTCCAGCCTGTCATCATAAGTCAAGGATTACCTCTATTATATTCTTGGACCATGAGGAAGGTTAAGAATTATAGACAGGTCTGCCTTGGGCATAAGGTCAAAATTTGCATTTTGATAAAACAACGATGGATAACTTTTTGGTAGGACCTCCCCCACTTGTTTAGAAACTTGATGAACTCTAATAATTAAGAAGATTATGTTAAATCAAATGCTGGACTTGCACATGTAAGCGTAAAGGAGCACTTTCATTATATTGATGCTTACACTATTGTCTCAAAATGGCAGAAAACCCTGCTGCTGATTTTCTGCAGTTGTAGTTGACTTTATAGTTCCCAGAGTCTGGGGGTTCTCTTGTGCCTCAGATTTTTTTACTGTTACAACAGATATTTTATATATATTCCTTTTACTATTTTAAAGATACTACCGTGTCTGATAATTTATATTGTTATCATTTATTTTGTATTTACTTAAGCCCCAGGCCCCTGCAGTTCTCAGTCTTTTGTTTAGGATAAAGCAGTTATGTCTTTTTTTTTAGGTTTTTATGAATAAGTCCTTTAAAATAATAGTGGGACATCTATGGGCTGTTGAACCTCCTATAGAAAAAGTATTCTGGCCATGTTTTATCTGCAGTACAGCTCCATAATTGCACACTGTTAAAGCACTATGCTGATTCTTATCAGGCGAATAGTGCTATTAAATACATATGTCTGAAGTTAAAAGCTTGCCTCTGCAAACATCCATTAACTTCATGGAGCTTCTTTCCAGAGTACATATGCTTAAGATCAACTGTGGTCTGCATAGTGTCTGATGGCTGAGGGCTTGTGGAGAACAGATAAATATCTGTTGTGATGGAAGCTGCATAGCAAGCTCTTTAAATGTTCTTAAACATGATCTAAATATCCATGCTGCATGCATACTGATATGAAAATGTTTATGTTCTACTCAAGTCTAAAAGGAGAAACTATTTCAAACTTGTATGGAAAATCAATTTGACTTTTTCTTTCTTTCTTTCTTTCTTTCTTTCTTTCTTTCTTTCTTTCTTTCTCTCTCTCTTTCTTTCTCTCACCTCTCCCTTTCTTCCTCTTTCTTTCTTTCTTTCTTTCTTTCTTTCTTTCCTAATTTCTGATTCAATGTTCTTTATAATTTCAAATATTCAGACATTGAACCCCCAGTAATTGATCAATGCAGATCTCCACCACCAGTTCAAATCACTGAGAAGAAGCACAGAGTAATATGGGATGAGCCCCAGTTTTCAGATAATTCGGGTGAGTGACTCTTTTTTCATAGGTTTGGGTTTTTTTCTACCTATTTGGGGGATTTGGATTCCATTTGGGTGAATTTTGATAATCAGTTTGAAATGTTCCTGTAGGAAATGCTATCATCTTAGGATGAAGCTAAGAAATTGCATCTTTTTAAAACTTCTATTCTACCTAACGTGAATTAAAATAGAACATTCAGGATATTTTAAGTACAAATGTTTAAAGTGCATTAATGTTTGAAACAAATTAAAGGATTGCCAAGTAACATTAATAAAAATAATAAGATTTTCCATTACTTTGCTATTTAGAGCTTATTTAAAATATTTATATAGAGAGAGTTTATTAAAAATATTTAATATTTTTATTGCGAAACTTAATAATTTATTATGCTCTGCATAATGCAATGTACACTTAGAATGTAGAAGACTAGAACAAGTTGTTTTATTCATTGTATTGTCCTGGTAAATAAAAAGAATTTGAGGACTGATTAAATCATATTAAGGCTGAGATATACAAAGGCATTAATACCTAATAGAATGAATTATATAAAATCAGATTGCATAGTCTGTAAACTATATTTCAGATACTTAAGGCTCAGAACCATTATTTGAGGTTCCACATTATATATGCGAAGCATGTAGTTTTGAAAAATATTGGAAATGAAATGACATCTTTTCCCTGTTCTGACTATTTCAGGATCTGCCTTAATAATAACTAAAACTCACTCACCTGGAGATCTCTTTCCCAAAGGAGAAACATTGGTTCAATATACAGCCACTGACTTGGCTGGAAATAATAGGACCTGTGAGATTAACATTGTCATAAGAGGTTTGTTTTTTATGTGTTTATACTTCAGATAATTTGTATTATTGAAGAGTACTAAAGAATACTCCTCCTCTGAATTCTGATTTTGGAATTCCAAATTATCCAATCTTACATCCAGAGAAGATCCAATTAATTTACAAGTTCTCCATTACACTAGCTTCATTCTTTTTTAAAGAAAACTTAATTTTATACAGAGTATTCTGTATAACATACAACAGTTTTTGGTTCCTTAGATTTTGTAATGTCAGCGTATGTGCAAATTGAGCAAAAAATTTGTTTTGTTTTTTTTATGGAGTGAGACAGACTGGAAAAATATACTCACCTCTAGTACGCCATAGGTTCACTATGCGGCAGGAGGAGGAACCATGCAAACTTTAATCTGAACATCTTTTTTTTCAGGTTCTCCTTGTGAAATTCCCTTTACTCCGCTGAATGGTGGTTTTAAATGCACTGAAAATGAGTCAGGAGTTAATTGCACATTATTTTGCATGGAGGGCTATGATTTCACAACAGGTTCCAATGAAAATTATTACTGTGCCTATGCAGATGGTATCTGGAATCCTCCCTACTCTAATCAGTGGCCTGACTGTTCTTGTAAGGTTTATCTATTCTTCTTTCTTAAAGACTTAATTTTATATAGAGTATTCTGTACATAAAACATTCAAATGTTTTTCAGTTGACTCATATGTTTTGTCCTCCTAGTAGTTAAGTAATGAGAACTGAAAACAATATAATCAAACTAATAAGAATTGGATCATACACACACATGCACACAAATAGCCAGCTTTACGCCATAGCCCTATTTCTGTCCACACTGTTATCTGTTTGGTCATTGTTACAATCATTATGCACCCGTCCATCACCCATTTGTGTGTTGGTGATTCACATCTGCCTGTAACATGTCTCTATATTTTAATGCTTGAGTGATCTTAGAAATCATTATTTTGCTGGGAGGTAGGGAAATGCAAACTACCTTAAACTTTAGTTTGGGACCTAAGTTGCTTTTTTTCTGAAGTCTTTGTTAGGTGTTGTCCTACAAATGTGAATGGCACTAATTGAGGGCATTTGTTTTAATGACACTTAGTTCTAGTTAACCTGGTTTATGGTGCTAGTTCCTGAGATGGAATTATTTCGATTTGAATAAATGCATTGGGGCGGTTATTAAATGGAGATTGAGGGGATTCTCCCATCCCTAGAACCATCCTTTGTCCTTCTTACTAACATCTCTAAAAACAGGTCCAGGCATAAATCTGAATCTTTAACTATAAAGAAATATTGAAATGTCCACAAATCAGTTAAAGAAATAAACATTTTGCTACATAGTTTATTTATCTGGAAAAATGTCATATTGACTTGGATGCATTTTAAAAGCAACACATATTTTGCCACTTGAGTTCCGTTAGGATTTCATTGTATGATAGGATAGGATATATGATATGGATAGTCGTCATTTGGCATCCAAAGTTGAGACAGGCAACTCAGTTGTTAAGCAAAGCAGTCATTAAGTGAAATTGCAGCTATGCTTAGGATCTTACTGTATTTGCTTTACAGATCCACCAAGCTTATAATGACAAGGATTGGTCTTATTCATCACCATTATAGCTGAATGGTCACTAAATGAAGCAGTCAGTAAACAGGGACTACCTATATTGTACCATATATTATCTGGTACCTACATTGTGATTGGGATAACCCTAGTTTGTTAATTTTTTTCTTTATGCAAAAGAAACTAAAAGTAGCTTTCACTTTAACGTAATGTTTAAATTAACATAATTTAGTACAGTTCCACCTGTACATTTTGGTAACAGTATACTAATAATAATATACTGTTTTTCAGTGAATCGTTTGGCAAATCATGGTTTTAAATCCTTTGAAATGTTGTATAAAGCAACACGATGTGATGACAAGGATCTTCTTAAAAATTTTGTGGAAGTTTTTCAAAGTGCACTTGGTAAAATGGTGAGTTTATGGTAAATCATTATAAGATCCTAATGTGACAAAAACATGAAGTGTGAACAGTAGAGACTGTGGCATACTTAGTATATTTGAAAACTGGAGAGGATATTTTTAGCAACCTTTGCCCTTCAATGCTGAAAACCAGGTTGGTGCAGTGACTAAGACATCAGACTGGGAACCAGGAGACTCTTGAGTTCTAGTCCTCTTTAGCCACAATGCTAGTTAAGTGATCTTGGGCCAATCATTTCTGTCAGCCATAAGAAGAAAGAACTGGCAAGCCACTTTTGAAAAATGCTTCCCAGAAAACTGCACAGGCTTGTCCAGGGGGTTTTCAGGATTTAAAATTAATTGAGAACACATTTTTTTTCCTTCTGTCTCTGCTATACCTCTGCCAAAGGCCAAACAGCTGATTGTGCAACCCAACTTCATACCCACCAGTTGCCTCCTAGGGTCTTCAGCAACACCCTTCTGATTGCCACATCTGGGCAGACCAAACTCCATTTGCCCCTTGGTAGACCACTCAGTAAAAAAAGACCCAATGTCTCTGATTACAGAATTAAATAAACTGTTACTACTTTAAATAGAGAACTTCTTAATGTATTAATTCATGTTCCTTGAATTATGTACTGTTTTTCCTAGCCAAACATTCTTTATTACCTTACAGTTTGTAAAGGATATTGAAACAAGGATATCTATTTCAGAAGTGAGTTAGACTATCTAAGTTAGACAAATGGTAGGAAGGTTGTGTTTTTAACTAACGTATAGAAATATGAATAGTCCTCAACTTACAAGAATTCATTTAGTCACCTTCAAAGTTACACTAGCACTGAAAGGCTGCTCAGGAATTCTGGGAGTCATAAAAGAGCCAAGGTTGCCTCCCCCTGATGTAGAAAAAGCCAAAGTGTATGCCATATGTTTTAGCATCAACCTAAAGATAGGAGATTGCAGACTGATCACTGTCACAGTTTTGGATGTCAGCTTACATCTAGCATTCTGAGGCAACAGTGGAGAAGGGGGAAATCCTAGAGATTCCTGAGTGTCAACTCTGCCAAAATAGGCAAAGCCCACAGATGCAAGGAAAACAACGCAGGGAAAAGAAAGAGAAACAATCTGTCCACAATAAATTTGATTTCCAGCTTTGTGGATAGAAAGATTGTGTCATATTGAGACCAGAAAGGAAGTTAAGCCAAATTGTGTAATGTTACCCAGCTGTGAATTAATTATTTTTATTACTGCTCTTTCCTTATGGGTTATAGGTTCCATCATTTTGCAGTGATGTTGATGACATTGAGTGCAGACTTGAGGATGTGCCACAGAAACATTGCTTAGAATATAATTACGACTATGAAAATGGCTTTGCAATTGGTAAGTGAAGTAATAATAATAATAATAAAGTTAGAAGGGATCTTGGAGGTCATCTAGTCCAACCCCCTGCTCAGACAGGAAACCCTATACCATTTCAGACAAATGGCTGTCCAGTCTCTTCTTAAAAACTTCCAGTGTTGGAGCATTCACCGCTTCTGGAGGCAGATTGTTCCACTGGTTAATTGTTCTAACTGTCAGGAAGTTTCTCCTTAGTTCTAGGTTGCTTCTCTCCTTGATTAGTTTCCATCCGTTGCTTCTTGTCCTGCCTTCAGGCGCCTTGGAAAATAGCTTGACTCCCTCTTCTTTGTGGCAGCCCCTGAGATATTGGAACGTGATTTGCCCTTTGTCATTTATACACTCCGAAGAAAGAAATATTCAGCTCATTCCCTACAGTAATTCTGAATACAGGTAGTCCTCGACTTACGACCACAGTTGAGCCCAAAATTTATGTTGTTAAATGAGACATTTGTTAAGTGAGTTTTGCCCCATTTTATGACCTTTCTTGCCACACTTGTTAAGTGAATCACTGCAGTTGATAAGTTAGTAACCTGGTTGTTAAATGAATCTGGCTTCCCCATTGACTTTTGCTTGTCCGAAGGTCACAAAAGGTGGGTGACATGACCTTGGGACACAGCAATGGTCATAAGTATGAACCAGTTGCCTAGCACCTGAAATTTGATCACATGAGCATGGTATGCTGCAAAAGTCATAACTGTGAAAAATGGTCATAAGTCACTTTTTTCATTGCCGTTGTAACTTTCAGCGGTTACTAAGTGAATTGTTGTAAGTCGAGGACTGCCTGTATGTACTAAAGGGGAAAAAAATAACCAGGGAAAAAAAGAGTTAAACAGTTAACACAGCCTTCCATCATTTATTTCTTTGCTCCCTTCCTGCTGTGTTTCCTTTCTTAGAAACAGCAGTGTCAGGTCTATATTTCATTTATTTGTGTGTAATAAATACTTTACCTCTCTGCTTAACCTTTGAGGTAGGAGTTGACCTTTCTTGTCTGCATCTTATCCTCAAATTGTCAAGTCAGTAGCTGCTACTAATCCCTTATTCTAAAAAATGCAATTGTGCTTGAACAACTGGTTTACCGTTCATAAGTGTTATCTATTTCTCTTCGGATATTTCTTTTCTCTCTCTTTCTATTACCAACAGGTCCTGGTGGCTGGGGTGCCATAAATCGGCTGGATTACTCTTACGATGATTTTGTTGAAGTAGATTCTGAAGAGCAGCAACCTAAATTAGTGTCTGATTCTATGGATGTGGCAAACTCCCGGGTCAAAAGACACAAAAAAATGAATATGCCCATGTCAGACCACAAAATAAAGCTAATTTTTAATATCACTGGTACGAGAATCTTTTTGTCTCTTTTGTTATTAGGGAAAATGGAGTACACCTTTTTAAAATGGGGCCTATTTTGAGTGTTTTGTAAATAGAACATCCTTAGGAATTCTGTCGAACACAGGTTGAAGAATTTTTCTAATCTTCTGCCTGCTTCCAAAGAGCATTATGTTAATTAACTCTGTAATGCCTCTGCCTTTGCATAAGATGATTGTTTGTTTTTGAATCCTAGCTACTGTACCCCTGCCTGACAAACGCAATGATTCTCTGGAAGTCGAAAACCAGCAGCGCCTTCTAAAAACACTAGAGAAGATCACAAATCGATTGAAAAGAACTCTCAACAAGCATCCCATGTATTCTTTTCAGTTGTCTTCCGAATTGCTTATAGCTGACACCAATTCTCTAGAAGCTGAAAAGGCTTTTCTCTTCTGCAAACCGGGCTCTGTTCTGCGGGGGCGAATGTGTGGTAGGTAATTTTACTCTCAGTTAACTTAATTTAAGTTATTATGTTTAGAAGGCTATCAGGTTAGAGTCATTGCCTTGTGTCTACTTTCAAGGAGGAATCAAAGGAATCATATAATGTCAATCTTAAATTCACTGTTTATGCTATCTTATTTATTTTCACTTTGGAAAAGTTTGGCTCCTCAGGTAATTTCCTACCTCTTAGGGAAGGCTTCCTTCAACAGGAAGGGGGAGGGATGGGAACATGTTTTTCTAAGATACTAATAAATTCTTGTACTGCATGAAGTTCCATAAATCCTCCAGAATAGCTTTGGTGGAGCCTGGAATGATTGACATGAAGGAAGAAGAGTTATTCAGAATTTGCTTCTTTCTCCTTTACCCGTAGAAGTATTTCATCAGTAGCACACAACTATTTGGATTTCAGCAGTTATGAATATGTTAACACATTTTTAGGTAATCTGTAATTATCTGTTCAATCATTCATGTAGCTAGTATAGTTTTTGCACATGTAGAAACTGTGTCTGTGATGATGCAGATACAGATTACATTGCCCTCTGCAGTTTGAGAACTAGGTCAGACTTTAAACAATCATTGTTCCACAGCCAACATTTTATTCATATTTTATCTAATTAAATTCCAGTTAACTGTCCTTTGGGTACTTACTATTCTCTGGAACATCATGCATGTGAAAGTTGCTGGATTGGATCATATCAAGATGAGGAAGGTCAGCTAGAATGTAAAAATTGTCCATCTAACACCTATACTGAATATCTCCATTCCAGAAGTGTGTCAGAATGCAAAGGTAGGAAATTGGGAATCATTTAATATTTCACGAATGGAGGCGAAGTCCGAAAGCTCGGAAGACAAAACCTCTGGTCCCATTGGCCAACCCAGATAAAAATACGAATCCTGGGTAAAGCCATGCAATAAAAACAAATAAATTCGAACACCAGGATAATATCAAACTAACAACTGTTTAATACAACTGTTTAATACAAGTGCTGAGCTTTCGTCGGCCAATATATATTTTCAGCTACTGAGGGAACCAGTGTTTTTTTTAATTTCAACATGAAAACAAATGTTTATGCTTGTTTAAATTAGGTTTATTCTAGATGTCTAGAAAGAAAATTTAAATTTACACTAAAGAATGTTTTTTTTATATAAAACAACTTTTATTTGTTTATAAAATACCACAACTTTATAGAAAGATGTGTCTGCATTTGTGTGTGTGTGTGTGGGAGAGAGAGAGGGGGGGAAGGGAGGGAGGGAGAAAGCACACTGGGTCTGATCACTGCATCTAATCTGTTGTTGTTTTTTTCAAAAGTAGCCAGTGAGATAATCTCTGTTTCACACAAAGCACTTCAAGTTATACAGGTAGTCCTCAGCTTACAACTATTCGTTTAGCAACCATTTGAAGTTACAAAAGCACTGAAAAAAGTGACTTATAACCAGTCCTTGCACTTATGACCATCTCAATATCCCCACAGTCACATAATCAAAGTTTGGGTACTTGGCCACTGGCATTATTTACAACAGTTGCAGCATTCTGGAGTTCTGTGATTACAATTTGGAACCTTCTGGCTGGTTTCTGACAAGTAAAGTTACCTGGAAGAAGCCAAATTTGCTTAACCCAACTGGATGATTCACCGAACTACAATGGTTGGCTTAACAAGTGGCAAGAAAAAATGTAAAATTGGGCACAGCTGATTTAACAATGACCTTGCTTAGCAAAAGAAATTCTAGTCTCAATAGTCGTCAAACGTTGAGGTCTGCCTGTAGGCTACAGAGAGTAAAACGCTCTTGTAACAAATACCCAATTTCTTTGAAGAATACAAAATGGAAGCAGTATATAAGATATTATCAAATAGAGCAGCAACCCCAATCTTTTGGGCACCAGGGACCGGTTCCATGGGGAAAGGTTTATCCGCAGACAGGAGGGGACATGGTTTCATGTACTGCCTGCATCCCATGGATGGGGTTTTGCTTGTTTGTGCAGACCAGTTTCTGGCACACCATGGACTGGTGTTGGTCCACGGACCGGGGGTTGGGGACTCCTGAAATAGAAGAAAACATCATTAGGAGTAAATACATTGACAATTTCTGGAAAAGAAAGCTGCAGTGGAAAGGAAAGCAATTCTTTTATTGTGGTTCTATAATAAATTGCACTAGAGTCAGCGTTCCTGCATAAATACATTGTATTTAAATAAGTATTTTTACAGAAATGGCTCCCAAAACAGTTCAGGACAATAAAATTACCAATTGAAACACAACAGCTTCCAATATGAGTGAAATTATTAAATCAGGAAGCTAGAATGACAGACTAAAACAATAAGATCCTAATAATAATTTGCATGCTTTTCACGGTTTTTTTAATTTATACTTTTTCTTCTTTCTTACCACAGTAATTATGTGATCTTTTCAGTGGAGTTAATATATCAGTTTAATGCCAATCATCAAAAAAGCTTCTTTATTCTTTGTGCTTCGGATTTTTATGGTAGAGTGGTTTATGGTTTCGATGGAGTGTTCTAAACAAAACACGCAGCTTCTGCAATAAACATATCCATATTTGTGGCAGATCTTCTTTGCAAATTGTATTTTGCAAGTTAATATGCTTAGCTTGCTCTAGGCTTCTAAATCACCAGTTACACCTCATTGCAGATGCAGTTGTTCTGCATTAAATTGCTGGGTTTATTTTTGCTCTTATTTTTGAGCTCCTTGGAATTGATATGTATTTTTTTAAATTAGAAAATTTTAATTACGTTGTACTGTTCTCATATACTCAGCTCAGTGCAAGCCTGGAACCTCCTCTCCAAACGGCCTTGAGATCTGTGAATCGTGTCCCCTTGGCAAATATCAGCCTACCACTGGATCTAAGCACTGCATTTCTTGTCCAGAAAATATGTCAACAGTCAAAAGAGGAGCTGTGGATATGTCAGCATGTGGAGGTTTGTGACATCTAAATTCCAGGAAACAGCATGTTGCTAAATACTGTGCAGTATCTATCACTCCCATTCCCTGATCTCTGCATAACTGAAATATTTTTAAATAGTAGCGTGCATTATGTCTGTAGTCTATCTTATTTATCTAGTGGACCATAATTTTCTGCACAAAGGATTTGAACTGTAGCCATACTTTAAAGAAACAATCTCCTGAGACCTCTGTTTAGACAGAGTACTTGTTTATGTTAGCAAATATTAGTTTGTGGTTTCCAGCAGTGTGCTGGTAACAACAGCAGATTATTTCCATATGTTATTAGTGCTTTTATTTGTTTCTTGCATAATATAAACTTGGGGGAAAGTAATATTAATTTTTGCCAGTTTCTGGCCAAACTTGAAAATAGTTTTGCTTGTCCTCTGAGAAATAAATCTGTTTCTTTTGCCAATGCAGAATTAGAAATATGAGGAAGAGTAGGTATAAATCTAACACATAAACAAACAGGCCACATTATTTGGCAAATATCAAGTATTTGACATTCGGTGCCGTTTTTGAGGTCATATATCTATGGAGATTCTCAATCATCCAGATCTTGGTTGTCCCAAACATGCTTTTTTCCAAAAGGCAATTGGATTTTCTTGGGGTTTTTTCCTTTGAAAATGTTTCACTTCTCATTCAAGGAGGAGAACCGAAGAAGCTTCTTGGATGAGAAGTGAAATGTTTTTAAAGTAAAAAAAAAGAAAAGAAAGAAAGTCCAATTGTCTTTTGGAAAAAGCATTTTTAGAGTCATAGTTTGTAACTTCAAGGTATGCAAAACATATAAAAACACGTCTATTCTCTTTTTCTGATATTTTGTCCTTCTGAAAACTAAGACTGTGGTTGTAAGATAAAAAATTTGGAACTCCCAGAGTACAAATAGTTTGATTGTCTTTTTATACGATCTGTTGGTTTCATTTTAGGTTAATCTTGCATTGTGTTGCAAACCTAGCGATATTTCTGAATAAATGTATGTATGTAAGATTGGGATTTGGGAAATGTTATCTAGAGGTGACAGAGATTTGGTACAATAATCTGGTTCTGGAACATTTTAAATCCACTTGGTTGAAGCTTTCCATTGATTGAAACAGGTCTTCTTCTTTTGTGAAATAATGTTAAGATGTTATATCAGTGCATAAAGAAGATTCTGTTATGTGCTTTGCAGTTCCTTGCCCAGCTGGAGAATTCTCACGTTCTGGTTTAATGCCGTGCCATCCTTGTCCCAGAGACTATTACCAACCTGAACCAGGAAAATCCTACTGCCTATCTTGCCCATTTTATGGAACAACAACAATCATTGGAGCCAGATCTATAGCAGACTGCTCAAGTAGGTTATGTCCTTTAAAGGGTATGAAAATGATCAACAATAAGCATAAGGGTAGGAAGAGCTTGACTCTTCATGTATTTACAAATGGATGTCTCGTGCTTAAAGAGAAATTAGATTGTGCCTTTGCTAAGAAAATATAGACAGAAGACAACTGTCGAGATACCGTTGTACAGTTCATATGGAACAAAAATAAAAAGGAAAGGGACTTCAATGAACAGAACAAAGACTCTTCATATCACAATAGTACTTTGGGAGAGCCAAGCCATCCTGTGATTAATAGCCCCACCTCCCAGATGAATCCTGAGCGATTCTTTTCATAGTCTTACACACAGATCTTCTAGAAGTGATGATCCATGCACAAGCTACATTGCTACATATTGTGTCATGCCTGTAGCTCTCCTTTGGTTTCCCAAGTTTCCTCAATAGGTTCATAACGGGGTTTTTTTTTGCTTCAATGTAGGTGATTTAATATATAAAATTCGGCAATGGCATGAGAACATAAGAAATTGTGGGCTCCACCACTGACGTTTTAATCTTAATAGCCAGTTCTAGACTTAGATGATGACATTATTCTGTTTTGCTTTGTTTGTTTTTCTGTTTTGTATTTTACTTTTTATGATAAAACAATAAATAATAGTTTTTTAAAAAGACATTATTCTGTTCCTGACACTGCCAGAGATCCTGTTTAACACAAAATCAATAAATCTGAATTGAGTTTGCATGCTAAGATACTCAGATTTTATACCAAAATGCTGAAGAACCAAACCGGATGTGTGACAGAAAGGGTACTGTACCTCATCAGTAGTAGAAACTGGAGTCCATCTGAAGTAATATAACCCAGAGATCCCCAACCTTTTGTGTACCAGGGACCGATTCTGTGCAGAGGGGTTTTTCCACAGACCAGAGAGTGTGTGGTTTTGTGTGCTGCCTGCATCTTGCAGATGGGAAATTGCTTGTTTGTGCGGACCGGTTGCTGGCATGCCGCAGACCGGGTACTGGTCCACGGACCGGGGGTTGGGGACCCCTGATATAACCCATCTGGATATTCATATTTTAAATGAATATGTAATTGTTTTTGAAAGGTTAGATCTCTCCCTCAACAACTATATTCCCTTTTCAGTTATTGCAACATGAATTGTATTAGAATCTTGACTTCGAGAGGATTTCGCCAATCGGATTTTTACAGTTGCTTTCATATCAATCCCATTTAGGTTTTGGCTCTACTTTTTCTGCCGCGGAGGAGAGTGTAATGCTTCCAGTTGCTCCAGAAAACATCAGCAAGGACCCCAAAGTCAGCAGCCAGGCAAGAACAGTCATCGTGGTTTCCCAGAATGTGTAGTTACATAGAAATTAGAAAGCTGGGTGGAAAAAAAAAATCATTGAAAACGATTTGTTTGAAAGTTAAAGGGTTGCTGCCTCTCACGATGCGTTCTTTATTTCATTTGTATCCCATGCAGCAGGGTCTGCGGGAGTGAATGGTGAAAGCAAGACCATGGCATTGCGCTGTGAATTCCACCCCTCCTTGGGATGGGTGCAAATGGCCTGGTGCATGTGGTCAAGGGATGGGTCCTGTCAGTGGTGGGATTCAGCCAGTTCGCACCACTTCGGCAGAACCGGTAGCTAATTTGTTGTTGCCCAGGCCCAGAATGGACTTCCGGAAGTGGCATCCACACAGAGAACCGGTTGTTCACATATTTGAATCCCACCACTGGGTCCTGTGCTATAATGCCCTCCTAATTCATCACTCTTCCCCTCTCCACCCGCTGCAGATGCTGGCGATCCCGCATGGGTAGTCCTCGATTTATGACCACAAGACAAGAATTTCACATTGCTAAGCAAGGTCGTTGTTAGGTGAATCATGCCTGATCTTACGACTTTTTTTTTTTTTGCCACGGTTGCTAAGCGAATCGGTTGCAGTTCTACACTGAATCACGTATTCGTTCAGGCCGACTTCCTTCATTGACGTTGCTTGTCAGAAGCCAACTTGGAAGGTCACAGATGGGGATCAGATGACACCCCTCCCCCAAGGATGCTGCAACCGTTGTAAATACGTGCCGGTCGCCAAGCACCCAAATTTTGATTACGCAACCATGGGAATGCTGTGACTGGCATAAATGCGAGGACCAGTTGTCAGTTACTTTTTTCAGTGCCATTGTCACTTCGGACAGTCGCTAAACAAATGGTTGTAAATCAAGGACTGTATTTGATTTAACATGGTGTACATTCCCCTCCCCTATGCAGTATTTGAGACCATTATGCATTCATATCATCTATTAAGACTTAACATTTAGAATCCGGATAGGAAGTCTGAGCTGCTATTTGCTATTGAACAGGTAATATATATTTTTGTTTTGTCTTTTTCCCATTGACCACAGACATTCCATGAATGTTTTCTGCAGCCATGCCATAACAGTGGAACTTGCAAGCAGGTTGGAAGTGGTTACATTTGCATATGCCCACCAGGATATGCAGGTAAGTAATAGTGTTACAATTCTTCCTAAATATCATGGTTTGACTGACATATTGCTTGGGAAGAAAAAGAAATATATTAAGAAGTATTCCGTAAATATTCAAACAAGAGATAGAAACTTTTCTTGGAATTACAGGCCCACTTTTTTCTATGTGGGGTTAAAACCTAAAATTTGTGAATAAACAAAAAGTTAGTTGTAGCCTAAAAAAAAAAATCAAATAAAAGGTTTGGGGAGGTAACCTGTAAACGCATTAAAATGTCTCTGACTTTGACGTTACTCTACATGATGTGATCTTTCATCAACTCAAAAATAGCCTTTCTGTGAATGAAAGATATTTTTTTAAGAGAATTGTTGACTTCTTGTTACTACTCCAAAGGCTTGCTTTTTAACTTCTGTTTTGTAGAAATACTTATCTGAGTTTTTTCCCTTCATTTAAATATATCTTTTCATTGCAGCATGGTAATTTTCATATCATTTTTATGCTATTAGTCTTCCTTAGTTACAAAAAAAACCCTGTTCAGTTATAAATGAACCATTTGTGTAGATCTAAGCAGGTTAGCATCATTTATACTAAATATGAAGTTTGCAGTGATTAAAACTAGTTATATTAGACTCTCTGGACGTTTTTTCTTTAAACCGATAGCTCTCATGGACCCTACAAAAAGTTTGTAACTTAACTGGAGTGAAAATAATGGAACTTGCTAAGTCATGGTCTCCCAGTTCCAAGTATAGACTGATCCTGTACATATTCAAAGATGGGCCCTTACAAACACTGCATATAATTTAATAAAAGTGTATGGAATTATTAGCTTGATCTGTACTCATGTGTCAAGAATAGGCGAACAAAACAGAATCTAGCTATCGCTGTCTTTTCACAGGAGACCTAACAGTTTAGCAAAATGTTTCAATTTCCTGTTATTTAAAAATGTATCAGTAAAAGGACCTTGAATACTGTAAAAATTAGCTGCAAATAAACACATGGATTTTTATAGTAAAAGGCTATGTGCTGGGAATAGGGTAGAAACAGAGGGTTGAAAGAAAACAAAGGCAAAGGAAAGCAAACAGATTTGTTCATCCAGGGACAGATTTTAGACATTTGGTCCTTAAAAGTCTGTGTTTGAATGTTTGTATATCCAGACATATTTCTGGTGCTTAATTAGATTTGCCAGTCTACTCATTTAATAGTAAAATGAGAAGCAAGTACAGGTTTAACCATACTTTTCTCATGTGGAAAATTTGACAATAGAGATGGATGCAAATTTCACTGAGTTTACCTTTCACCAAAAATTACACAATTACAGAGGAAAAACAGGAAAAACTCAAGATTTTTAAAGAGTAACCCAGCATCACTGGTAGATTTGTCTGTTTTATCATGAACTCAATTTTGTTTTAGTACTCAGATCAGTTGGGGAAAGGAGTGTCTCAGAATATTTAATTGAAACAGAATGTCTTTTGAGCTTTTAACTGAACAAAATTAAATTAATTAGTAAATTAATTTAATTAATTAATTAAACAAAAGCCTATCAACAAACTCAGTAGCAACTAGAACTAAATAGACTCTGAGATCAATTAGCTGTGTGTTTTTCATACGGGCCAGTTTCATCTATTTCTAACCTACGTGTAAATAGATTCAAATCCCTCCCCCAAACATCACATTTTATTTTTCTATTACTTGATATTTATTTGATGTGTTTTGCACTTTTGGCCCATGCCGATTTATTTTTCTTTGTGTTCTTTTGGGTTGTGTTCTAGGATTAAAATGTGAAAAAGAGATTGATGAATGCAGGTCATCTCCCTGTCTCAACAAAGGGATTTGCAAGGATGGCACTGCAGCATTCATTTGCCAGTGTCAACCAGGCTACTCAGGTGACAAATGAACTAAAGCAGTAAAGCATCATCTCCAGGTTGCAAACTTTAAAAAAAAAGTTACGGCTCATATTTATTGAGCTTGTGAATATCTTGCCTTCTATATTCTGCTGATTTCATAGTGTGAATTTCTTTGGCGAACTGGCGAGGAACAGTTCAACATAAATTTTATTGCTGTTGTATGCTGGGCATATATAAAAATATCTGCATAAAGGTTTCTTAAATGGCTGCATTCCGAAGATATGTATGTCACCACCTCCAGACTGCACCATATTACTTAAAACATAGAATAATAGAATTGGAAGGGACCTTGAGGTCTTTTAGTCCAACCCCCTGCTTGAGCAGGAGACCCTATACCGTTTCAGACAAATGGTTGTCCAGTCTCTTTTTAAAAGCCTCCTGTGATGGAGCACCGATAACTTCTGAAGGCAAGTTCTTTATGGGTTGCCTTCATATTAGGGAATGGGTAAGAGTAGACTGTCATTGGCTGTCCTATTTCCCCCCTTACAATATGGGGGAAATTGGGTCTTGTTGCAAAGTAGCAATCCATCTGGCTAAGCTTTTGTAGCTGAAGTTGAGTGGAAAGTCACTGAGGAGTCTATGAGTGGAAGGAAATGGATAAATGCAGTGGTGGGATTCAGCCGGTTCGCACCACTTTGGCAGAACCGGTAGCTAATTTTTTGTTGCCCAGGCCCAGAATGGACTTCCGGAAGTGGCATCCACACAGAGAACCGGTTCACATATTTGAATCCCACCACTGGATAAATGTCATCATTTGATCGTATCAGAATTGTGTGGGTCTTCTCCTACAATGTTTGTTAAATTCAGTAGACAAAATGTAATTATTATGCACCTAGGGCAAGATGGTGGTTTACCATTAAAAAGAAAAAGGAAATGAAATAAATAGAGGAAGCTTGGTACAGATTATTTTTAAGGTGACTAGCTGGATTCTTTCATCTATTTGTTTGGATTTTTTGCTGCAGTAATAAACCATAGTTCTGGATTGTGTCCACACTTGGTAAATGAGTCTATGTCCTCTTGATGAAAGCTGAAGGACATGGTCCATTAAAATCTACATTATTTCATTCAATACAGAAATCCTGTAATTGACAACAATACCAGCTTCTGCTTGCAATTTTCCTAATTAGAAAAGCTTATAATGTAGATAGGATGGTGGACTCTTATTTCCAAATTAGTAACATGAATGGAAAGAGCTGTTTATTTATTTAGTTATTGAATTTATAGGCCCCTCCGATCTTTTATGACTGGGCAACTTGCAAAATACAACAATAAAAAAAGCAAAGATTAAAACAAAAAATTCCATTGTCCAAACCAAAAATAAAAGACTGGAAAAATACAACCATTACTCAGGAAACCCCAATTTCACACAAGGGATCTATTAACCACTCTGGCCCTAGGCCAGGTTTTAAGGGATTGTTTAAGTAGGGCCCGGGTGGGAGCCATATGAATTTGGGGAGGGGGGTTAATGATGTTCCAAAGGTCAGGTGCCGTGAAAGAAATGGAACTGCAGCTAGAGCACAGAAACAAGAATGTTTATGTCTAATGAATAAGGTTGAAAATTTATTATTAACTGCTGTGCTGGAAATTTATAACCTGGCTGTTTTTAGGATTGTATCTTCCATGTGTCAGTCCATTGTGTGAACTTGTAAATCTGCATGTGTATACTATTAATGTTCTCTGTAATCTATTACTTGAAGGCTTACTGTGTGAAGAAGATGTAAATGAATGCCATTCAAATCCTTGTCTGAATAAAGCGGTCTGTGTTGATGATATTAACTCTTACCGTTGCTTGTGTCCAGAAGGCTTCACAGGTTGGTCCGTTTTATTGACGACCCTCTTCTAATATTTCATATAGCTCTCAAGATGTTTTGTATTGCTTGCAAGATCTTAAAAAAAAAGAGGAAAGTTTAACTTTCCAGTTAAAAAAAAGGATCACATAGTTAGGTGTTATCATGTGTGACTTCCCTCATCAGGATAAATGAGAAGTTTGTGACATTGGAAAAAAAAGGACAATATTTTTCAGCAATTAGTCTAATACATTAACAAAGTTGATACTTTAATCTCCAGAAAATTCATTGTATTGAATACCTACATCAGTGATGGCGAACCTTTTAGAGACTGAGTGCCCAAAAAACGCCCGCCCCCGCTCTGCCTCCCACCCTGCCTGCTCTGCCCCCACCCGCCTCCTGCCCTGCCCACCTGCAGGGACACGCACCGCCTCCATGGCCCGCAGCAGATCACCCAGGCAGCCCTGCAGCACCATGGCAGCCACGCCCTCCGCCCACACCCCGCAGCAGCATCTGCACACTATGGGGTGCGAGGGCGGAGTCGTGTCCCTGCTGCCCGGCTATGTCCTTGGCTGCGCTGCTTCGTGTGGGCCGCACCCAGGGGCGATTCTCCTCCAGGGAGGCTGCTGGTGAGGAGGGGGCCACAGGGGGAGGCGGGGCTGGGGCAATGGCACGCGTGCCCACAGAGAGGGTTCTGAGTGCCGCCTCTGGCACGTGTGCCATAGGTTCGCCACCATTGACCTACATTATGTTTTGTTTAAAAAAATGTATTTGACTTATTAACTTTTTTTTTAATCTTCATTCTTTTTAATGTTCCCAGAGTCTATAAAGTTCAGAAATTGCCTGATGCTGATAACATCTTTATTCCTTTCTTCTTTCTCAGGCACTCACTGTGAGGCAGAGGTAAATGAATGTCTTTCAAATCCCTGCTTCAACAAAGCTACCTGTGAAGATCAGGTTGCAGGTTTCCATTGCAAGTGCTTGCCTGGATTTATTGGTGCTCTGTGTGAAAAAAACATTAACGAATGTCTCAGTAGGCCTTGTAAAAATGGAGCCACATGCAAAGATGGAATCAATGGTTATAGGTAAAGAGATGTATGTATATAGCTTTGAAAATATATAAAGGTTTAATCATGCAAATACGGTGTATTTATTTGTTTTCCCACTTGATTGCTTGCTAAGGAACCAAAATAGCAATCCCTTAAGGCCCAAAATATAACAGAATCACTGCTTTTAGAATCTTACCTCTCTCCTTTAAACTTTATGAACTTTTCCTTTTGTCTTAGAAGCAGGGCTTTTTTTCTCTCATAGAACGCCCAGAACGGAGTTCCAGCACCATTTTTGGATGGAACCTTGTAGGGTAGGCAAGGCGGGGTTATATGACGTGTGTGAATTCTGGCACCTTTTTTTTTTTTTTTTTTTAGAAAAAAAGCACTGCTTAGAAGTATCTACTTCTATAAGTAGACATATCTATAACACTGTCCAGTGCTATAGATGGAGTTTACAGGCTCTACTGACTGTGGTCTACATTCTTTTTTCCATCCAATCTTTTTGGCACTCTAGGTTATTGTATTTTCACTTTTTATTTATTTACTCTAGCTTACATGTCATGCCAGTCACAGATTACTTCCATATACAGTAATTGGGTTAAAAAGTTTAACGGCAGCCTAACTGTCTCTTCCCCAGAAATGCATTTGGGGGGTTTTATTCTGGATTTTTTTCTCTCTCTCCATAGTCCTTGGCTGGGGGGTTCAGCCATTTTTAACTCAGTCTTTCTTTTGCCAGCTTTTTCTCCACATCATATTTGGTCCAATTCTGTTTTGCTTTCAGAGAGTTATCCTATTAACAGACAGATAGGCAAGACAGGCTCTTCGGCCGCTTTGTGCAATGTCTTTCCAACATTCTTTAGGGTTGCAAAAATAAACAACATCCAGAATTTTCAGAACTTGTAAGCATTTCAAATTCAGACTCCACAATCGATCTTTTTTTTTTTTTCAACTTCTTACATACTTAGGCTTTCCACTTACCCTCGTATTAGTTCTTCATTTCACTTAAGTAACTTACTCTGTATTTAAGACAGCTAGAATGTAATTGTTCAAACTGTAGTAAAGAGAATTCTTTCATTTTGTCTTCTCAAAGGTGTCACTGTGTGACAGGTTATACAGGGCCCCAATGTGAAGTGAACACCAATGAATGTGAATCCAATCCCTGTGAAAATCAAGGAACATGTATGGATGCCTTGAACTCGTACGTTTGTAAATGTCCTCCTGGCTTTACAGGCAGCAGGTGTGAAACAGGTACCCAGGATCAAAGTATTAGCAAACAATAGCAAATTTATCTTGGCAACAATTCTGCAGACTTGAACTGAAAGCAGATGACTCCCATGAATATAGACTTTGCAAACCGCAGTATACAGTACAGGTAATCCCCAAGTTATGAGCATTCCTTTAGCAAACATTCGAAGTTATGCAATATGCGCCCCCTAGTGTTTACAAAAAAGCCCCAAAATTACGAATGTTGCTGCACCATGGTAGTCGTTCACCCTTAGGAACGGCCGCAGTGGCACTGTAACATTCACCCTGGCTATTCCTTCCCTCTCCTCTGCCCCAGGTCTCCCTAGGCCAGGTGTTGGCAACCTTAAACACTCAAAGAGCCACTTGGACCCGTTTCCCAGAGAAAAGAAAACACTGGGAGCCGCAAAACTTACACGCACAATTGGGGGTGGAGCTTGATTGAAGAGTTTAATTAAAAAGAAATAGAGGCTGCTGTGCGTGAGTTCTCTCTCTCTCTCTCTCCCTCTTCCTCCCTCTCTCTCTCTCCCTCTCTCCCCCCTCTCTCTCCCTCTCTCCGATCTTGTGCTCACCTGGCAAGCTGACTTCACACTGTTCTCCGACAAGCTGACACACATTCTTATTGGGCTGGCTCTTTCCTGCCCTTGGTCTGCCAGTCCTCTTCCCCCACTCAGTGTGTGTGTGTGAGAGAGAGAGAGAGAGAGAGAGCTGCTGCTTCCTGCTGAGATGCAGCAAAGGCAGGAGCCCTGCCCAAAAAGCTTATCAGCTTGTCTGAGAACAGCGGAGGAAGCTGGGAGCCGCAGGAGAAAGCTCAAAGAGCCACATGCGGCTCCAGAGCCGTGGGTTGCCGACCCGTGCAACTAGGCCTTGGATACCTTGCAAAGAATGAGATCCTGAGCTTTCTTGGCTGTTCCAGGACTACAGTGCATTTGCAGAGAATGGAGCCCTAAAGTAACGCAAGATCTCGCGTGATTTCATGGTACTTTAGGCCTCTGTTCTCTGCAACAGAGAAAGGAACCAAAGCCAGGGTAGACTTCTGCATGCCTCCGGAAGCCCGATCTGGGTGTCAAAGGCCTTTTTCAGGTCGCTGCTGCCCGGAAAGGAGGCCAGGAGAGTCTTCTGCGGACCTCCGGAGGCCCGATCCAGGTGTCGGAGGCCTTTTCCAGGCTGCTGCCACCCAGAAAGGAGGCCAGGGGACGCTTCCGCAGACTTTCCAGACATTTGAGGCCTTTTCTGGGCTGCTACTGACAAGAAAGGAGGCTGGAAGATGCTTCCACGGGCCTTCGGAGGGCCATTCTGGCCCTTGGAGGCCTCCTCCAGGCCTTGGAGGCCTCGGGCAGCAGCCAGGTGCTTCCAGAGGTCTGTTCTGGGCCTCAGGGGCCTCTAGGCCTCCTGAGGCCCAGAACAGAGGCTTCCCTCTGCTCTTGCTGGGATCAGAGAAAGAAACAAAGAGGCTGGAGAGGAGACAGATCTTCACAAGGTAAATGACCCGGTGGAGGAGCAATTGTGGGGATCACAGGGGAAGGAGCATGAGGTAACTCGGGGGGGGGGGGGCTTGGATGATCTGAAGCAGATGGCCTGTTCCATCACTAGGCCTCCCCATGGCCTTCCCCACCCTGAGATACTCATGTTCACTTAATGAGCTGCGCATTTGCCCACGCGTTAAATTAGCAAATGCATGGGCAAAAGCTGGGAGTGAATTGCGTTCAAGGCAGGCTCCATTCCATTCGTAACTTGAGGATTACCTGTAAATACAATAATTCAATAGCAATAGCACTTAGACTTATATACTGCTTCACAGCCCTAAGTGGTTTACAGAGTCAGCATATTGCCCCCAACAATCTAGGTCCCCATTTTACCGACCTTGGAAGGATGAGAGGCTGAGTCAACCTTGAGCTTGTGAGAATCAAACTGCTGGCAGTCAGCAAAATTAGCTTGCAATTATACTGCATTCTAACCACTGCGGCACCATGGCAAGTCAATATTGGACTTATTATTATAAGTTCAATTATAAACCAATAATATATAAAAATAAGACACTGAAAAAATATATTTTGAATGCTATCCAGAATGCACTTGAGTTGGGTGGCCACTAAATTTAAATAAACAATAATATTTAGAATCTTACTATTCCCTAAACTTCAATTTCATTTTCTACAAAGTTATAGAGTATTTCTTCTGTGTTCTTCAAGTACTTGTTAATCAACTGGAAAAGATTTCTTCATTCCTTGCTTTGTGCTAAAGTATTGTAGCAACCTTTGTGGCCAGTTAGCAAATTATTAGAAATGGTATATGATTTTCAGTTTTTAAACCAAATACTTTAATGTTTAGAAATATTAAAAATAAAGTCATGCAGAAAATCAATCCGCGTGGTTGTTAAGAGTCAACACTGGCTGTAGACAATCTATCAGTTGTAAACAATACAGTATGTCTTGGCTCTGGAGAAGAGAAGAGTTTATTATCAATATAGTAAATTTTCTCATCACTAAAGCATGTCAATTTCCTTCTACCACTTTTAGTGGTATTTTGAATGGGTAACGAAATCTCTAATTTGCTGTCATAAAATATTTTGTTTCATAAATGAGTTGGAATCCATTGGAATTCAAAGATATGTTGATTTTAATTTAACTTAATTTTCCTTACCGAACTATAGATTCTGCCCAAGCTCTGCTTTTGTCTGTAGTAAACTGAAGAGAGAGGTTTGCTTAACACTTGAATACAAGATGAAGCAAATGTAAAAAAATAAAATAAAGAGCAAGTTCAAAAATTTTAGTTGCCGGATGGTAATGCTGTGCGCTAAAGAATGTTAACATCACAACATAACAACACTAGAGATTTGAGTGCATATGGATATGCATATGGATGCATATTCATCCATCAGGGTTAACTGTCCAATTATATGGTATACCTTCTAAGACTCAGGTGTCTTTAGATAGAAGAACAGTGGATATTTTACATTGGACGTTTTCTATATAAATCATGTTTACCGAAACACGATGCTTAGTATTTTCTTAGAACCAACGTCTAAAAGAATCTAAGAAAAGGTGTAGGTGAATTAGATAGTTATAGGAGAGCATTAAAGGTTAGTATGTGGAAGATTATACCTTATAGCAGGGTTGGTATCTAAAAGAAGGGAGGTATAGACTTTTCCTGTGCCTTCTGGGTATTTATGCAGTAGTGGTGAGATGAGGTTACAGAATGTCTCTGCGGTACGGGTGCTGCTGGAGAATACATGGTCTGTCGTTTCTTTATGTCCAGAGACACAGGGGCATTGTTTCTCCAAGTAAGAAATCTTCCTATATCAGCACTCAAGGGCAGCGGAGTTGAGAGCATAGGATTGTGCAAAATAAAGGCCCTCCAATGTTAAAGTACTTTGAGTTTAATTAAGTTTAATTACCCTATAATCAGCAATGGCCAGCAGAATAAAATCCGCAGGGACTCCTTTAACTTTTTAAGGGAAAGAGTACCTGTATTCACTGGCAATACAAGTTGGGATCCTGGCTAGATCCGACTGATGTTCTGTTTCTGCTGTACAGGTAGTTCCTCAACTTACAACAGTTCATTTAGTGACCGTTCAAAGTTACAACGGCTCTTTAAAAAAAAAGTGACTTATGACAATTTTCACACTTGCGACAGTTGTAGCAGCCCCGTGGTCACGTGATCAATATTCAGACACTTGGCAAATGTTTATGACTGTTATAGTGTCCCGGGACCACATGATCCCCTTTTAGGACCTGACAAGCAAAGTCAACGGGGAAGTTGGATTGCACTTCAATTAATGTTATTAATTTAACAATTGTAGTGATTCACTTAACAACTGTGGCAAGAAAGGTCTTAAAATGGAGCAAAATTCACTCAGCAACAGAAATGTGAGGCTCCATTGTGGTTGTAAGTCAAGGACTACCTGTATGCTAGTTAATGAGTGCTTTGGCCTGATTATATCCCATGCTGAGGGCAAGACCAAGAGAGAAGCCCAAGGATGAGATTTTAGTTGCCACTGCCTCTTTCCATGTGGATTGAAAATCATCCCTCATAGTTAATGCAGCAAGACGAAGGGGGGGGGAGATATTTTGAGCCAGTTGTAGAGTATGATCCCCCCCCCATTCTTGCGTCAACTTTCATGAAGCCTCAGGATAGCATTAGAGACACAATTTGGGACTTGAAGGGCTGATCTTGGAAATTTGGATTGTACACGTTCTTATGGAGCAATATTAGGTATTGTGCTATTGACCTGTCAAAGGACTAAACATTTTTCCTGTCTGTTGCAGAGCAGTCTTCTGGATTTAATCTGGATTTCGAAGTCTCTGGAATCTATGGCTACGTTTTGCTTGATGGTGTTCTCCCCTCACTCAGTGAGATCACATGTGCATTTTGGATGAAATCCTCCGATACTACAAATTATGGGACTCCAATTTCTTATGCAGTGGAAAATGGAAGTGACAATGCATTCTTGATTACAGATTACAATGGGTATATGAAGTAGCTACAGCTTCCAGTTCATAGGCTTGGGGAAGAGAGGCAAACTGTATTTTATTGCTTTATCCACCTAACTTCTAGAGCAGCGGTTCTCAACCTATGGGTCGTGACCCCATTTGGGGTCGATCGACCATTTCACGGGGGTCGCCAAGCAAGGCTGTCCGCCATTTTTTTCCCCTTTTCAGGCGGGTGCCTTACCTCCCTTGAGCTGGGCCAGCTGGTGGTCGGCCTGCTCCGTCTCTGCCGCTTGCCAGCTACGCCTCGGCCGGCGCAGGGGGCGGAACCACGCATGCGCGGNTAGTCCTCGACTTACGACCGGTTTAGTCCTCGACTTACGACCAGTTTAGTCCTCGACTTATGACCGGTTGGGGGTCGCGGCATTAAAAAGGTTGAGAACCACTGTTCTAGAGCTTGTTTTTCCATGTATTCAATTACACAATAGAGCATTACACATTCTATATTCAGCAAGAAAGGAGCCTATAGATTTGTGAACTATTCCTCCAATAGAGGGAAATCTACTGTAGTTTATAACTTAACGCTACCTTGCATGGCCCACCCAAATCCCTTTGGTCTTTTTTGTTTTATTTTGCTTTTGCTTTTTCAACTGAAGTTCAGAAACTAATGCTCAGGCCAGCCATCAACTTTTGCTTGATTATATTCACTCCGAAGTCTTTCGAATTATTGTTTGTCTTGTCCCCATTAGAGCATTAAATCTGGCATGCAGCTAAGCTGTTTCAAGCAGGTCACTTCCATTTCTCTTTCTTCTCTTCTGATACAGATGGGTTCTGTATGTTAATGGGAAGGAAAGCATTACAGATTGCCCGTCTGTGAACGATGGCAATTGGCATCATATCGCTGTAACTTGGGCAAGTGCAGACGGAGCCTGGGGAGTGTACATTGATGGAAAATTGTCTGATGGAGGCAGTGGCTTATCTGTGGGAACAGAAATCCCTGGTACGTCTCCCTTCATTATTTATCTGACTGTATTTATTTGCCATGTTATTTTGGGACTTTTGAGACATTTGACTAAAGGGATGTAAGATTCCCATCCTATACAACATAGTAATATTCTAACAATATTAAGGAATCATTTAAAAGTATATTAGTACTAGTATATAGTGCCAACCATTATGTACAATAATAATAATCAGTAGCTTTATTCCTTGCATCTGTGTGAGTGAACCTGTATTAAAAATGTAGTATCTGAAATCAACTCAGACTTATCCATTGTTGGATGCAGAAGGGAGTAGCACTTGCTATCTGCCTAGACACAGATGGTTATCCCATCTTTTCTATTTCAAACTGCAACACATCCATCTAAGTTTATATAATTATGCATGAAAGCACCCATTCCCAACTACAGATTACATCAAAATAAACAAATATATGTTGTAATGTCACAAGCTCCAGTTTTCCATTCTCATACTGCAATGACACAGGCATAAAGGGTGGAATTTGCATCACAAAATTCCATTCTTGGCCTGCTTATTCTCCCCATGGACTTCTATGATTAAATGAATGAATTATGAAAACTACCTGTGAAGAGCTTGACATTTATATTTACATACAGTGCCTATATTCTGCCCCCCCCCAGCAATCTGCCTTGTGATATGAGGTTTCTCCTAGAACAGTGGTGGCGAACCTATGGCACGGGTGCCAAAGGCGGCACTCAGAGCCCTCTCTGTGGGCACGCACGCACGCCGTTACCCCAGCCCCGCCACCCCCTGTGGCCCCCTCCTCACCAGCAGCCCCCCCAGAGGAGAGTCACCCTGGGTGCAGTCTGCATGGAGCAGCGCAGCCAAGGACATGGCAGCCGGGCAGCAGGGATAAGACTCCGCCCTCGGGCCCCATCACATTCAGATGATGCTGTGGGGCATGGACAGAGGGCATGGCCACCATGACACTGCTGGGCCGCCTGGGTGATCTGTTGTGGCGGGCCGTGGAGGTGGTGGGTGGCCCTGCGGGCAAGAGAGGCGGGGGCAGGGTAGGGGCGAGGCGGTTTTTGGGCATTCGGTTTCTAAAAGGTTCGCCATCACTGTCCTAGAATGACAGTGCTGAATTCAAGTTCTCAGTTATCAAATGTGCTAGCTCCTTATTCTGTTTTCTTTATAAATAGGTGGAGGTGCATTAGTACTTGGACAGGAACAAGATCAAAGAGGAGAAGGCTTTAATCCAGCTGAGTCCTTTGTTGGTTCAATTAGCCAGCTGAACATTTGGGGTTATGCTCTGCCACCTGAACAGGTAATATATTGAATCTAATTTGCTTTTACTGAAAGTTCCACTTTATTAAAGCTGTCTGCTATGGGAGGAAGAGTATTAGAGCATAAGTGCCAATAGCCAATTTTTAGCTATATGAATTATATACAACTAAAACTAAATACAGAATAATCAGTAAACCAATTCATGAAGATTCTTCAAAGGGAGGTGTTCATGGTGAACATTCTGAACAGAACAATAATGGGCTTTTTCTTTTATTTATTTTCCTTTTCACGAAGCATTCAATTGTACATTCACTTGTGGCAGAAAATTATCTGCCAGTTTCTGTAGCTTCCAGATCAGCTGTGGCTCCTTTGACATGACCAGAAGCAATCTGTCACTGATATAGTTCAGTGATGGCGAACCTTTTAGAGACCGAGTGCCCAAACTGCAACTCAAAACGCACTTATGCATCGTCGGGTGCTGGGTGGGTGTGGCCTATTGGCTGGGTGTGGCCTATTGGCTGGACCTGGCTGCGGTGGTAACGGCAGACTGGGTGGGACTAAAAAGTTCAATCAATCAATTCCAACTTTGCAAGATCTTTTTTTTCTCCGCAAGAAGTTGAAATTGACTGATTGATTGAACCTTTTTTTTTTTACACATGGCGGCGGAGGCCTAAAGCGAAAAGGTTTTATAAAACCCAGCTGAAGGCCTAGGACTGGGGCGACGGCCCGCGTGCCCACAGAGAGAGCTCTGAGTGCCGCCTCTGGCACCCATGCCATAGGTTCGCCACCACTGATATAGTTCTTAGCAATAAAGGGGCTTCTCATTAAATGGCATCGGAGCAAGTAATTATAGTCCTATTATTTAAGGGGGAAATGGAAATGGAGAAGAAGGGTTTAACTAAAGCGCCTTGAGCTTCTGGAAGAAAGGCAGGTATAACTCAAACAAGTGATTTGAACTCAATTAAGATATGTGAGAGAAACAACATTCTTGTAAAACATTAGAGTGATTCATGATAATATAGTTTTATATCTTTCATCTTTTTCTAAAATAATACATGCAGAAACTTAAAGCAAAGGTCATTGTAAAACCCTAATTGTGCCATTTTAAAATAATAAATTATTAAAATGAAATTAATTTTATATGTGTAGGTATCTTTATGTATATATATAAATAGGACAATCCTCCATTTTTCTTATTAAAATCTGTCCGTTTATCAGGGAACTTGTTCTCAGTTTTAGAGTTTTTCAAGCATATCCGAGATTGAAAGCTGCTACAAAGGTGTCTGAATGGAAAAAATGTTTCTGTCTGAGCATTTTGTTTTTATTTTTTGTACTTTGCATTTGCTTCCAACTAATTGGTGACAACACAAACAAATACGTGTGTATCTTATTCTTTTTCTTGAACTCTAAGGTGAAATCCTTGGCTTCATCTTGCCCAGAGGATCTCCAGAAAGGCAACGTATTAGCTTGGCCAGATTTTCTTTCTGGGGTTGTCGGAAGAGTGAAGATAGATCCCAGGAGCAAATTCTGTGCTGGTTAGACTTTTTGTTCTCTTTCAAAACCTTAATAGAAGTATCATACAGTTGCATTCAAATCACATTTCAGAAAAACTGTGGCACTGTAATGAAAGTTATTTCTCTTGCAACAGGCAGGTATTATGAAAGAGCAAAACAACAGTGTTGATATTGCTGACTTTCTCTTGCAACAAGGAGCATACATACATTCTAGGACAGCGGTCCCCAACCTTTTTGAGGACTGGGGGAGGGGGAGAGAGGACAGTTCCGCGCAAGCGTGCATGCCCACCATTCATGCAAGTGGAGCTGCAGACACAAGTGTGCTCACCCTCTGTTTTCGTGGCCCGGTTCTGAACAGACCACGACCCGGTAACAGGCCACTGCCCAGGGGTTGAGGACCCCTATTCTAGGATACATTCTTAATTCATTAGACCATAATGATTGGCCAATATTCCATATGGAAACAAGAAACCAGTCATGTTATACAGTAGAGAAATGGAAGGAAGAGAGAGCTGTTAAGGGCAAGAAGATTTATTAATATTTTAGAAACATACTTTAACATATGTAAGGGAACAGCTTAAAAACATTCTAAGTATTACTAGTAACATTTTAATATAATTCGCTCCTCTGTAAAGTTCTAAATGTTTACCTTAGTTGAAATAAGTTTTTTAAGTTTGTGAAATAAGCTATTTAATTTCAAATAAATTAATTAAAAGAACATAAATTATGAATATGATTTTCTATTTCATGGAAGTGTGGTTCAAGAATAAATTCTAGCATAGTAAGTTTTTATTGTTCCAATTGTTCCTATTAACTATAAAATTCATCCTGAAATTCTGTCTGTCATTCCACATTCTTATACTACACAGAGAGTTCTCAGAACAGGAGCATCAGGGGAAATAATTCCCTGATAGTACATAGAATTTTTTTTAAAAAAAATTACTGGTATTAGTTCTGAGGCATGAGGCTAAAAATATAATTATCCCCATGACCTTGCATGGATACACTTGATCATTCGATGACTGGAACATTCAGTCTTAATTCCTCAAATTCCAGTGTTGTGTAATAAGTGTTCATTGGGACCTCAAGCAAAATATTTATGGTTTCCTGCATTAAGAATGTTGAAAGCCTGAAATTTAGGACTGGGTCATAAGAGAAATATTTCTTGGCCTTCATGAAACAATAATTCAATTTTTTCTTGATTCGCTATTTGATTTTTGTTGTTATTGGGGAGGTTTGTCATTTTTAAATATAAACATTGTTTTAACTTCGGTATTGAAATGTAGAACACTTCTTACTTTAAGAGAGCCTAGAAATACTTAGAGATTTAACCAGGTAGTTTATTTAGTACAATATGAAGAACCTGAATGAGGAGTACAGCATTGCAGGATTTAAACTTGATTTTTATTTATTTATTTATTTGTTTTTGTAAGTATTCACAACTCAGCCATGCTTCCCTTTTTCTCCCTTACCACGTGGATAAAATACAATCCTCAGAATCTTCTTTCTCTAAAAAATGGAATGTTGATTTGACAGTACAATGTACTGGCATTTGATGGACTAATCAAAGAGTGAGTCATGAATGTATATGTTAAGTAAAGATGTACATAATTGTGTCAAATGAGATCATTTGCATAGTCAGTATGCAAATTACAGTTACATCACACAAATTATTATCACAGAAATTGGATCAGTTGCCTGCAAAATCCACTGTAAATAGTTCAGTTGCTCTACGGGGATACTATATATAAATTGTGCATATATGTTGATTTGTTCACAGATTGTCAACCTTTAGAAGGATCCATTCCCCACCTGAAAACTTCATCAGCTACTTTAAAGCCAGGATCAAAAATCTCTCTCTACTGTGACTCAGGTTTCCACATAGTGGGAAATTCTGTCTTACATTGTCTAAATTTAGGACAATGGGCACAACCTCTTCCACATTGTGAAAGTAAGCAGCTATTTTTATAACGGTTTTAACTTCAGGATATACTGCACTGTTGTTCAGAGGTTCCTGGGCATAAGCTTAAAAAAAAAAGTACAGAATGGAAGTATTGAAATGTAAAACACTTCCTACTTTAAGAAATTAGAAATATTTAGAGATTTAACTAGATAGCTTATTTAGTACAACATGAAGAACCTGAATGAGGAGTACATAATTGTAGGATTTAAACTTGATTTTTTTTTCTGTAAATATTCACAACTCAGCCATGCTTCCCTTATTCTCCCTTACTTAGGGACACCCAAGATATTGTTTTGGATTGTTTTCATATAATCTAAATGTATTGTTAGTTTACAGAATAAATTTGCCTATGTATGCAAATACATATATGTATGTATGCATTACATCAGGAATGTCAAACTGCTGGCTGCGTGGGCCGGATGTGTCATGGCAAAACCGTGCCCACCCCATTGCCGGCAATGGAAAAAAGGTCGCGATATGTCACGACATGTCATGTGATATTGCAAGTTTGACACCCCTGCATTAGATGGTGCATGAGATGAGATGTTGTATTGTTGAGTGCTTATTGGATGTGTTCTTCATGACCATTGTAGCTTTTTAAAGTTTTGTTGAGACTGTTTCCACATTCTTTTTAATGTGTTTTTAGCAGCAAATTTTGATAGTGCTTGCTGCTTGGCTACAGTCGGTACAGAAGATGAAGTTCCAAAAGCAAAGAAACACACACAGCACACTTTCTTCTTTAGGTTTTAGCCTAGAGTCATAGTTATTGAAATTTGTATTATTAATATAACTAAAAATAGAATTATATTGCTGCCAGGAACTAGGACCTAAGCTCATGAAAGCCATTTGAAGAAGTGTTTAAATAAATATGTCTCATTCCCTAATAGGTTTATATGTATATTTATATACTGTTTGGGTACAGGAATTAGTTGTGGAGAACCTCCACCTTTAGAAAATGGGTTTTACTCTGCTGAGGATTTCTTTGCTGGAAGCTCTGTAACGTACCAGTGCAACAGTGGTTATTACTTGTTGGGAGACTCAAGGATGCTGTGTACGGACAATGGAAGCTGGAATATTATTTCTCCATCTTGTCTTGGTAAGTCCACATAGACCACATGCTTAATATCAAAAGCTAAATCTATGCTTTCCTGTCCAGTTCTAAGCATTTTTGTGACTATGAGTGACCACCGGCAAACAAGCGTCATTTCTTGTGCAAAACGGGGTACTATATATCATCTGCATCATACCATAACCCTACACGAATTATGCACTTCATGTAAGTGGTGCAGTGCTGACATGTTGCATGACATGTTATTGTGACTTACACTTGAGACTCAGATGTGTAATATGTCAATTAAGCATAGAGCCAAAATCTAAAAATATTATTTAGATAGCTTGAGTCCTACCTGTTCCATAGGATTTATAAAAACACTTAACTTGTAAAGGAGTTTAAAGTTCATATAGTTCATATATATAGTTTTGTGGGTCTTCAGATTCTGGTAGAAAGGGGAAATCATTATTTATTAATTTATGGTCCAAAATCAAACCAACAATCATTAAAACATATATTTACACATATATAAATGTGTAAATTACCTAGAAATCAAAAACAATCAAATCTTTCAGGAAGGCACCAGCCAGTTCCCATAGGCTAAATCTACAGGTTTAAAAAAATCACTTCTGCCCTACAGACATTTAGCTCCAGCCAACCTAGCAGTTCAAAAGCATGCAAAAGTGAGTAGATAATTAGGTACCATTTCGCTGGGAAGGTAAGAGCGCTCTGTGTTTCACCTCACGGTCCACTCAGCATGGTGGCCACATGACCGCAGGAACATCTTCGGACAGCATTGGCTTAATGGCCTTGAAACGGAGATGAACACCGCCCTCTAAAGTCAGCTATGACTAGCAGACTAAAATCCATAGGGACTCCTTTACCTTTTACTTTTACCTACATACATTTAGAAATTGGTGACTTAAAAGGAAAGCAGTGATCTTATCATAAGAAAAATAAAACTTTGTAATAATTAGGCTTATACATTTTAATTGTTACTGTGTGTGGAGTACACATTTAATAGAACATGGTGTAGAGATTCAACCTTCAGATTTGAACATAAAATTGTTATGTGTGAGGTTGAAATATCTTCCAGTTATTGCTCTGATGGGGGATGCATTGGTTCAGGTCAGAGGGGGAAAAAACACCAATGATTGGGACTCTTCTGGTAGGAGGAGGTATGTGGTCCATGCTTTTCTTTCACATATATAGGTTTATATATGTCAATTACATTGTTGACAGAACTTGGTTAGATAACTTTCAAGAATTGCTTACAGTACAAAGAATGTCTGTTTGCATTTTTGTCATCACTCAGAATCTGCCTCGGTCAGCAGTTTCTTGTAAATTTTATTATATCCCTTATAAAGCACCATGTGTACTTTGTATAGAAGGAAAGAAAAATGCAGACATCCACATTTTTTCCACAGATTGCTTTCAACAGATCTTAAAATAATCAGCATTTTAATATTTTGTAAGGGAACAGAGCTAGTCTCATTCCTAGAAAATTAATTCCTGGAAATAGAACACTAAGTTCTGGTACAGTTAGTCCTTGGCTTATGACCCCAATTGGAATTGCAATTTTGATCACTAAGTGATGCGGGATTCATATCACCAGACCCAATTTTATAGCCCATTTTAGAATGGCCATTAAGCAAATCACATGATCTTTTAAGTAAATCACATGGTCGTTAAACAGATCTGGCTTCCCCAATTGACTTTGCTCGTTGGACCAAGGCCCCCAATTGCAATCATGTAACTGTGGAGATGGTTCGACAGACCTAACTTTGAGAATCAGTCATAAGTTACTTTCGGCCCTCCGACAACTGGGAAGTCTCCACCCTACCATGAAGGCATTCGCCCTCAGTCTCCCAAACAACAGCCCCTACAAATAAAGCCCACAGAGTAGGAACATGCGCACAGGGCAAGATCCAAGGTTCCAGGTCCAGTCCCCAAAGCAGAGTCCAGGCCCATCACAGTAGCAGCCCTCAGGGCAAAGAAAATGTCCAAGGCCACAGTGAAGCAAAAGCCAAAAGCAGCCCACAAGACTGCTTGTGGGCAAGATCCAAAACAAAAGGCGAAGAGCAATCTTCCAAGCGAGGCAAGGCAAACAGCAACAGGCACGAGTCAAAGCTGAGGAAGTGTAGGCCAAAGCGAACAATTGTTCCTGGAAAGGACTAACTCCCCACGGCTTCTCCTTAAGTTACTCCACTCCTGGTGTTCCTTGTGAAGAGGGGTGGGATGACTTCCTCCCGAGTAGCCTTGCAGCCCTTCTCTGGGCTTGCCTAGCTCTCCTTGCCCTCGGATCAATTGGAGGAGGCAGCTGTTCCTCATCAGAGGAGATCTGCTGCTTATCAGCTCCAATGCCTGTCAGCAGCCGTTTCTCCCCTGAGTCTGTGCAGGCAGGCAGCTCTCCATCTGGTCAACCACCTCCCTCAATGCCTGAGGGGCCGGAGTCAGCATCGTCCTCAGCCCCTGGCCTCTCCAAACATGCCAAAGGAGATGTGCCATCTCTGTCCAACTCCTCTTCCTTCAAACCGGGCTCTGATGGGGCCATGACACCAAGATGATTTATTGAATCTAATGCCATCAACATTCATGGCATTGCAGAGAATAAGAAAAAGACAAGATAGGCCAGGATTTTAATCAGAATGGCCTAGGCCAGGGGTAGGCAACCTCGGCTCTTTTATGACTCATGGACTTCAACTCCCAGAATTCCTGAGAAAAGGGAAAAGATAGTAATGGATGAATGGGAGCAATCATACTCAGATGCTGTTTGGTTCAAAGGGAGAATTGGAAAAGGCAAGCTACATCGTTCGACTGAAGTTTACCGAGAGTGACAGAGAAAAGTTAGCAGCATTTGGTATTTTCTGTGAGTGCCAGGCTTAAGAAGCAGCAAAAGAGAAGGGGGGGGGGAGACTTTCAGGAGACTAGAAGGATATTTTGGAGTGAAAAAAGATACAGGGGCAGTTGGAAGCAGTACAGGAAAGTAAGGGGAAAGAGGGTTACATTTTCTTAGTAACATGAAATACTATATTTGTTTCTAGATGTTGATGAATGTGCAGTTGGTTCAGACTGTGACTCCCATGCTTCTTGCCTTAACACAAATGGATCCTACCTATGTACCTGCATTCACCCATATACTGGAGATGGAAAGAAATGTGCAGGTAAAAGAGCAGGAATGCAGAGCAGTTTGGATGTGTATAGGAAAAAGTGCTTGTATTCTATAGAACCTTAGCTATATTTTAGACCTCCTATCAAAATCCATCACTGAAATTCCAGATTAGCAGCCTCCCAAAATCTGTAGTACTGAATAATCAGGAAAAGATTTGAATGGAGCTGGCTTAAAGGTTTTATTGAGTAACATCTGTATTAATAATATTTTCTTAAGACTTCATTAAACCATATTTATCTTGAAACTAAATCAAAATTTTCTAAAAGGGTATGGCCTATTAAATCATATTTGCAATGGGTAATGAATAACACTGTTTCCAAGCAAATTCAGACCTGATAACTTCTCAATTGTCCCTTGGATTGGGAAAATTGTCATAAATTTAACACAGATAGCTATCACTATAACCCAGAATTGGCAAAAAGGCAAAAAAAATAATAATGCAAGAGGTTCAAGATAGACGTTCTCGAAGTATATCTTTAATGATGCAAGTAGCTGCTTTAGTTTGGACATTCTCGAAGTATATCTTTAATGATGCAAGTAGTTGCTTTAGTTTGGTAATATAGGTAATAAAGGAAACTGTTTAGAAATAACTGTCTTTCTTGGTTTTGTAGCCTAGCACTAGAATAGCGTTGAGAATAGTAAATAAAATTTCTCATGATGTAAGGTGACCAACTTGCAGTAGCGGTATAAATCCAAATAATGAACAATGACTCAAAGGTTGATCTAAACTGTTCCTCAAAGATTTGATGAGCATTCCCATGCTTTTTGTCTGGGCTTTTACCCTGCCAAGTTGCCTACTTCAATGTTGCGTGATTTGTTTTCATTTTTAAGCACATGAGCCACACCTGATGTCAGTAAGCTCTGTTTTACCTTGTATCTGATTCCAAAGAACCAGTAAAATGCAAACACCCAGGAGATCCTGAACATGGACGGTCGCATGGAGACAGCTACACTGTTGGTAGCGAAATCAGGTTTTCATGTGAAAAGGGCTACCAGCTAAAAGGAGTGAGTCAAGTTACATGTTTGGAATCTGGGGAATGGAGCCATCTGATACCGTTCTGTGAAGGTATGTTTTGAATACTTATTATGATTGTATAGATAGAAATCATGGCAGCCTGGGGTAGGGAGTTCACATATTATTTATAAGGAAAAATTTTTTCCTAAACATAATATTTAAGAGTTCATAGATTTCCTTCCATAGATGCCAGTACTGGGGTTTATAACTTAAATAGATGTTGTTGTTGATAGAGACTTCCAGTGCTGTTTTCAATTGTGACTATTTAGTTGTTGCAGACGTATCAGTAATTCACACTTAAGATGGCTGTACAGCCATTGCTTCTCATAAAGGAAAGGGAAATATTCCTAAGTCATTCAATGAAATGGTAGTGGAGCACCAGCATATCTGAAATTGTGTAAAAACTATTGGATATTGGACATCTCTGTTGCATTCCAGAAATGCAATAAGAATAAAATTCTTTCTGAATTTCTGTCCCACCTACATATCTTTTTGTTCCAAATTTACCTTCTAATAGTACAAGATTTTTCTGTTCTCCAGCTATTTAATACTGACATTTAGCGTGATTTCCATTTCCCTTTTGGGGGTGTAGCAATGCTATAGCAATATATTTTTCATAATTTTGCATAATCCAAATAATTGTGTTAATCTTTTTTTTTCTTCAAGCTATTTCCTGTGGTATTCCACCCCTCCCTAAAAATGGTGCGATTGATGGCTCCAGATTTACATTTGGTAGTAAAGTAATGTTCAGGTAGGAGATCATTATATCTGGATCTCATTACTTGGCAACAAATATGGAAATATATATAATAATCATTAGGAAAAAAATTAATAAAATATGTGATGCATTTATATTAGAAATACTACAAAGTATTTATTTATCATATCTCACCTTTATTGTGTGTACAAATAACTCAAGGCAGGGAATATATCCAATATACCTTCCTCTCCTATTTTCTCCACAACAAATCTGTGAGGTGAATTGGGCTGCGGTACTGAAAATATTGAAGAGCATATTGTTATTGAAAAAACTATCTGCTTTTCTCTGTGAAATTATCAATTCACATATTTTGCATTTTGGAAGAAGCTGGACATTAACACAGGTAGTCCTCAAGCCGTTTGTGCCCAGAAAGGAGCTTCCGAGGGCTGGATCCAAACCTTGGAGGGGCCTTCCAAGCCATTTGCGCCAGGAACGGAGGTCGGGGGGGGGGGGCTTCTGCATGTCTCTGTAGGTTGGATCCAGCCATTGGAGGACTGCTCCAAGCCATTTGCGCCAAGAAAGGAGCTTCCGAGGGCTGGATCCAAGCCTCGGAGGGGTCTTCCAAGCAGTTTGCACCAGAAACGGAGGTCAGGGGGAGCTTCTGCATGCCTCCGTAGGTTGAATCCAGGCATTGGAGGACTGCTCCAAGCCGTTTGCGCCAAGAAAGGAGCTTCCGAGGGCTGGATCCAAACCTTGGAGGGGTNGGGGGGGGCTTCTGCATGTCTCCGTAGGTTGGATCCAGCCATTGGAGGACTGCTCCAAGCCGTTTGCGCCAAGAAAGGAGCTTCCGAGGGCTGGATCCAAGCCTCGGAGGGGTCTTCCAAGCAGTTTGCACCAGAAACGGAGGTCAGGGGGAGCTTCTGCATGCCTCCGTAGGTTGGATCCAGGCATTGGAGGACTGCTCCAAGCCGTTTGCGCCAAGAAAGGAGCTTCCGAGGGCTGGATCCAAACCTTGGAGGGGTCTTCCAAGCCATTTGCGCCAGGAACGGAGGTCGGGGGGGGGGCTTCTGCATGCCTCCATAGGTTGGATCCAGCCATTGGAGGATTGCTCCAAGCCGTTTGCGCCCAGAAAGGAACTTTGATGGCTGGATCCAAGCCTCAGAAAGGTCTTCCAAGCCATTTGCACCAGGAACGGTTGGATCCTCCGGTTGTTGGATCCAATCACTTGCAGCTTTACATTTGATAAATTGAACTAATACATCAGGAGAAATACTGTGAAACAGTCATGTACCAAAATATATTTATACCTATTTTTTTCTACCTACAGATGTGATGAAGGATACGTTTTAGTGGGTGAAGCAGAAGCAACATGCCTAGCAAACGGCAGATGGAACCATTCTTCCCCGTTTTGTGAATTAGTACAATGTCCCCTCCCAAAAGAAATAAAGAATGGAAAATATATCATGAATGGTGTGATGTACCTTTCTAATGTATCTTACACATGTGATGTGGGATACAGGTAATCAGAAAACCAGGATTTATTTGGTATATACCATGTCCTTGTTAAAACTGCAGAAGAAAAACTAACATGTATTTATGAATTGAAAAGATAAGGCAAAATGTTCCATATGGAATTTGAACTGCTTTTTATTATTTGGTGCCGTATATTATTGCACATTGAAAGGTTATATAGTCATTATTAAATTTTAAAAGTCTCACTGGGAAGTCTTGAAATGTGGATCAAAACAATCCACGTTACCTTGAACCCCAATAAAATCTGAAAGGTTTCTTAATGCTTAGGGATTTTTTTTTCCTTCCTAGTAAAACTGATAAGATTTAACTAGATATCCATTTGGAAGGCTGGTAAGATTGTTCATTTGTTTGTTAGCACGTGTGTTCTGCTTTTTTCAAAGACATCAGGCTGCTAACATCAGACAGTTAAAAACATGAAACTAGTAATAACATTATTAGAAACCATAAAATGAGTAATAAAAGCTCAAAAATGTTATCACCTGTGTAAGCTTAAAAAAACAATTCCTTCCATTCCTCTTGATCTCCAGAAGCTCTCCAAAGTCATCAAATCTTAGTTGTTCAGCAAAATGACAGGCATGTTCACGGCCTACAGATTACTGCTAGGAAGGAGCAGCTAGCAGTGACTTGGGAGGAGTAAGAAGTCAGATTGATGGAAACAGGGTTGCGGTAGAGACAGTGCAGTTCAGTCAATAACCTGGAAAGCCGTACGTCCATATTTGTTCTGTCAAGCTATTCCCACAGTCAAAATCTTCTGAAGCGATCCCAGTATGATGAAATATCACTAAAGGCACAATGAACAATCAAACATTATACTACTAACATTGAAAATTCTGCTTCTTGTGAGGGGAAAAAAATACACAGTTTCTGTTTAAGAGATTATGAATACAGGTAGTCCTTGGCTTACAAGAGGGCCTTTAGCAACCATTTAAAGTTACAACTGACCCTCAAAAGCTATTGATGACCCATTTTTGAAGTTACAATAGACCCCTCGAAAGCTACTTACAATCCATTTCAAAGTTATGATAATGCTTGTACACACATACACATATGCATACAAACCCAGAGTCATGTGATTACAGTTTGGGTGTTTAGCAACCTGCTGACCTGTATGGCTGTTTGCAGCATCCTGTGGTCATATGACTGTGATTTGCGACTTTGTTGGTGGTTTCTGACATTTACTTACGGTTTCCAGAAAAAAAAACACCCATTGGGAAAAATTGATTTGCTTAACAACTGCTTCAGTCACTTAACAACCATCACAAAATTGTCAAAAAAGTGAGCCTGGTCACCTGCTGCCTCAATGTACAACCACAATTACTTACAATTTACTTTTGGGTTGAATTACAATCATAAGACAAGGAGTACCAGTATCTAATTGGTTAGGTCAGTGATGGCGAACCTTTTAGAGACCGAGTGCCCAAACTGCAACCCAAAACCCACTTATGCATCGTCGGGTGCCGGGTGGGTGTGGCCCATTGGCTGGGTGTGGCCAATTGGGGGTGTGTGGCCCATTGGGTGGGCGTGGCTGCGGTGGTAACGGCAGACTGGGTGGGACTACAAAGTTCAAACAATCAATTCCAACTTTGCAAGATCTTTTTTTTTTCCGCAAGAAGTTGAAATTGATAGATTGATTGAACCTTTTTTTTTTGCACCCGGCAGCGGAGGCCTAAAGCGAAAAGGTTTTATAAAACCCAGCTGAAGGCTTAGGGCTGGGGTGACAGCGCGCATGCCCACAGAGAGGGCTCTGAGTGCCCCCTCTGGCACCCGTGCCATAGGTTCGCCACCACTGGGTTAGGTGATAATTGGAGAGCTCATTTGATAATTGGATCGCTTCAGAAGATCTTGACTGTGGGAATAGCTTGACAAAACAAATATGGACGTACAGCTTTCCAGGTTATTGACTGAACTGCACTCTGACTTTCCAGCAACCCTGTTCCCATCAATCTGACTCCTTACTCCTCCCAAGTCACTGCTAATTAGACAAATGTGAATTAGACAAACAATACTCTGTTTCTAACTGATAGGGACAGCTCAAGGTATTACCAAGTTGTGAAAAAAAATCCTTGTTTTATAGATTAAAATTATGAAAATAATATGATTGCAAAATCTGGTATTCTTTGACACCACGGAATCTAGGATATATTTTTTTTCTCTTCCTATCCAGAAATCATTTTGAATAGTAAATTTTGACAACTGAATTTTGAGTTTTATAAACTCATAGGACTTTTTGAAAGTGTAAAAAGTACAATTACAGTGCCCTTTTACTATTTTATAATTTGAAGAAAAATGTTGATAAATAGCTAGCCATTCTACTGTGATGAATATCTTCATAAGATCTGCTTCACTTTAATTTTCTTTTCCTCTTGCAAACTGAAACAAACAATGCATTTATTTTTCTGTTTTGAAGCAAACTGGTTTTTTTTACATATACAAAAAAAAAATCTCTTCCAGTTTCATCAAACAAGTTTTGTGGAATGTTACTGTTAACTATTTTTGTTGTTTTTTTATTTCATTTGTCTTACTCCCTTAGTATAGTGATTCACTTTCAAATTATGTGCTCATTATTATTTTTTTTGCATAAAAACAGTTTTCTGTATTTTGAGATTCTGTATTTGGTGAGACACTAATCATCAAGCCTGAAGAGAGAACATAGCTGCTTTAATGAACTAACTCATTAAAGCAGCACATGTTTTCAGGTTGAAAAATGACATGGCCTTTTTAATGAGCGGCAGAGGGCGTTCTTGGCAAATGAGTTTCAAAATACTGTTTCCTAATCATTTCTGAGGTGTGCACATTCTGACTGACTCAACATGGTTATTCAAGATTTGTGTTCCAAAGGTTATTACTTATAATTCAGAAATGGTGCACAGGTAGTCCTTGACTTACGACCACAATTGAGCCCAATTCTGTTGCTAAGTAAGGCAGTTGTTAAGTGACTTTTGCCACATTTTACAATCTTTCTTGCCACGGTTGCTAAGCGAAGCACTGCAGTTGTTAAGTTAGTAATACGGGGGTTCAGTGACTCTGTCTTCCCCATTGTCTTTGCTTATCAGAAGGTCACAAAAGACGATCACATGAACCCAGGACACTGCAGCCATGATAAATACATGCCAGTTGCCAAGCATCCAAATTTTAATCACATGACCATTAGGATGCTGCAATGGTCATAAATATGAAAAATGATCATAAGTCACTTTTTTACAGTGTTGTAGCTTCGAGCGGTCACTCAACAAATCATTGTAAATCGAGGACTACCTGTATATATCCTTGGACTGATTGTTAATCAAAATTGAACAATTTCAACAAATCCTCAAATGAAAAAGAACATTTGTTGACCTACTTGGACAGAAAGACCTTTTTTTCCCCCTACTTTTTTTATCTTACCCACTATCTACTCTATGTTGTTTATTTATTTGTTCCTCAGTCTACAAGGACCATCTGTGCTTGTATGTGAAGCTTTAGGTAACTGGAGCAGTTCACCTCCTGATTGTGAAATCATTTCTTGTGGCCTTCCTCCAGTAATCAAAGATGCTGTTATTACTGGAAACAACTTTACCTTTGGGAATACTGTCACTTATACGTGTAAGGAAGGGTACGTAAATCAGCATTAGATTTGAACTCTAGTAGTATCGTTTGATGAAATGTTATTAATAATATTGTGGCTTTTTTTCTAAATCCATATTTCTGTATTAACATAAGGCAGGTTTCTTAAGGTTTTGCACCGCTGCAAATTTATTGTTTTAAAAACAATAAATAACTATATGTAATCTCCATGAACCTAAATAACAATACCATTAAGGTTGGGATTGGGCAAAGAAAGAAAGAACAATATCATTTAATTTTAATCATTCATTTTAAATTCGCATATCACAGGGCTTTTCAAACTTCATGGCCTCTCAGAGCAACCAGATGCTGTGCTGGCTCAGTAAAATGGTTTGAAAAATATGAGGGAGGAAAATGTGTAGCTTTGTGTGATGCTGTAAATACATACATCAGAAATTTTCCCACTCCATAAAAGATTTTTAAGGTTGTGCAGCAATCAAGATTCAAAGGGCAAAATGTAACATACTGTATGTGTGGGTTTATGCAATATTTGTTGGGAATATCTTTTTTTAGGGCTTTCTCAGTACCTGGATTTCAGGTTGATGACAGATGCTACATGCATGATATATTTCCTTTTATTCATATTTTGTTCTTTAAATCCAGATCATTGTGCCAAACTGTATGCGTTGCCAAGGTAGCTTTCTAAGTAGTTGAGAAACTCAGGGGGAAATTGTCATTGTACATTCAAAAAGTAAAATTGCATTACTGTAGACTTCCACCTTTGTTCCTATTCAAAAGAATGCCCCAAACCTGGATTTCTGATTTGTTTTTCAAATGGACCATTAAACCAGGGAAGTTATTTGATTAAAGCAAGAAAGCAAGCAGGCAGGATTTTGGGAACTAACATCTTCAGATGGGATCAAAGAATTGATTTATTGAAAAGCAGGAACAAGTGCTTCTTGAAAATCAACTAGGATAGAAAAATGGCTACCTATTTCTGTTTATTTCAGCTTCTAGAAGGCAAGAGATTAGTTCTTTTTTAAGAATGATTTATCCAATAATCAGTTCTCCTTGCAAACACTCAATGTTTTGAAATAGATAGATAGATAGATAGATAGATAGATAGATAGATAGATAGATAGATAGATAGATAGATAGATAGATAGATAGATAGATACAGATACAGATACAGATACAGATACAGATACAGATACAGATACAGATACAGACACAGATACAGATACAGATACAGAGAGAGATGTATTCCTCTATAGATATCTTTTGCTCTCTTTCCCCCCAAAACTGCATCCAAGGAACTTTGTGGGGATATATACATAATGGAGGCATATGAGAATATTCTATAACTGCAATTTTCTATTATTATTGTAATGGTAAAAGAGAATTACCTGGAGGGAGGGGCAGGGAAGCCACAGCTTGCAGCTTCATAAAGTTCAAAGAAAGAAATTCAGGAAAAAAAACCTCCATAACTTTTCAGACTCTACAAGACGGCAGGAGATTTGTACAATCCAACCTGCAAGATTCTGTCAATGTGGCTTTACAATAAAGTAGAATTAGCGCATCTGGTTATATTTCCTGTCTGGTATACCCGAGAAGGCTGACGATTACATACAGTGCAGCTGAAGTTGTCTCCGTTCTTTAAAAAAAAATATGAAAACATTCTATGAAATTGATTGGAGTTAAAAGTGCTTAATTAAAGTTGTTGATAGTACACTTTTTTAAAAAAAACATGCATTGGATTATTTGCAATAACAATGCATTTTCACCTATTAGCCAGTTTGACAGTGACCTTGGAATGTGGCTTTCCCCCTGTAGTCTATGAGTTAGAAGTCCATTTGTATAAGGCAACAAAAATTGTCTACTCAGTCCTTAGGAATCTATCCCTGCTGTTTTTTTCTTACCCATAGCTACACATTACTTGGCCCTGACACTGTGTCATGTTTGTCCGACGGCAAGTGGAACCTCAGTCAACAACAGTGTGTGGCAGTGTCATGCGATGAACCGCCTCCCGTGGAACATGCTTCTCCAGAGAGTGGTCATCGATTATTTGGCGATATAGCCATCTACTATTGCTCAGATGGGTACAGTCTGGCTGGCAATTCCCAATTACTTTGCAATGCCCAGGGCAAATGGATGCCCCCTGAAAACCAAGATATTCCTGAATGCATAGCTGACTTCTGCGAGAGACCAGAGTCTGTATCATACAGCATCTTGGAATCGTCAAATAAGGCCAGATTTGCAGCTGGGTCAGTTGTGAGCTTCAAGTGTACGGAAGGTTTCGTTTTAAACACATCTGCTAAAATAGAATGTGTCCGAGGTGGTCAGTGGAACCCGTCTCCCTTGGCCATTCAGTGCATCCCCGTTCGTTGCGGAGAACCAGCGAGCATTGCAAATGGGTATTCCATTGGCACCAATTACAGTTTTGGAGCCATTGTGGCTTATAGTTGTATTAGAGGCTACTATATTAAAGGAGAGAAGAAGAGAATATGTGAAGCAACAGGAACGTGGAGTGGTACTATGCCAACATGTCATCCAGTGTCCTGTGGTGAGCCACTAAAACTTGCAAATGGAATGATTAAGGTATTGGTACAGTCTTGAACGTAAGCAAAATAATGTTTGTGTGTTTGGTGCAGTCAACATGCTGTCTGAAATCCTGAAAGCTTATTAAAGATCCTAAGATCCTGAAAGCTTATTAAAAGTGAGCTGAAGTTTGTAATTTTGAGGATGTATTCATGTTAGGTAAAATCAGAAATGTGGTGCCATATGATAGCTGCAATATTTACCCCACTGATACTTCCAAATCTGGGAAATTTTTCAGTAGGTAAGCAAGCAGATTTGCAGTAGTGCCAGAAATATTTGATTGTTCTGCATAAGCACTAAAAGGGAACTAAATCTATATATACATGCACATACACAGACACATTTTAAATACAGATACATACTTCATGTCTGTCAAAGCTTTGTAAACTAATATATTTCATAAACTGGCTGCCGAAAGCCTACATTGTGCCATTTTTTTTAAAGTGAGGGATAAGTTAGCTACTGTTTTGTAAAATCAGATTGTTAAGACTTTGATCGCTTTATCAGCTATAACATTTATTTCATCCATTTTGCAGAATATGACGGGACGATTCTTTGGAAGTGAAGTGACATACCAATGTAATGAAGGTTACCAGTTGACTGGAAGTTCAAGATTACTTTGCCAGTCAAACCGTCAGTGGTACAGTGAAGTACAACCTTCTTGTGTGATCCTCAATTGTGGAGAACCACCTACCTTCCAGCATGGATTCAGCAAGGGGAAAAAATTTGAAGTGGGAGCCAAAGTCAGTTTTTTTTGTGATGAAGGCTATGAATTGATTGGAGATATTTCTTGGACCTGTCAGAAATCTGGAATGTGGAACAAAAAACAAAGCCCCCAATGTGTCCCAACCAAGTGTCCAGAGCCACCATTAACTGAGAATCAACTTGTCTTGAAAGAGATGGCTGACCAAGTAGGGATAGTGCAGTTGTCATGCAGAGAAGGCCTTATTTTATATGGGGCTTCCATCCTGAGATGTTTGTCATCCCAACGGTGGAATGACACTTTTCCTGTCTGCAAAATGGTACTCTGTCGTAGGCCTCCTTATATTCCTTTTGGGGACCCCGTGGTGTCTTCTCTGCATTTTGGTAGCACGGTGAGCTATACATGTATGGATGGATTTTTGCTCAAGGGAACGTCTACCATTATTTGCCAAGCAGATGGTACATGGAGTTCTCCGCTTCCAGAATGCATTCCTGTGGAGTGCCCGCAGCCAGAAGAAATTCAGAATGGTATTGTAGATGTACAAGGCCTTACCTATCTCAGCACAGCACTATATAGCTGTAAACCAGGTTTTGAATTAATGGGAAACACAACAATTCTTTGTGGAGAAGATGGACGTTGGCTTGGAGGAGAGCCTTCTTGCAAACCCATTGAATGTTCCAAACCCAGAGAGATTAAGAATGGTCGGTATTCATATGTTGATCTACACTACAGACAGACAATTACCTATTCATGTGACAGAGGATTCCGGCTTGAGGGGCAGAGAGTTCTAACGTGCTTGGAAACAAGGGAGTGGAATACAAGGGCTCCATCTTGTAGAGCAATTAATTGTGATCCTCCTCAACCTATTGAGAATGGGTTTGTAGAAGGTGCAGATTACAGCTATGGTGCCATGGTTATATACAGCTGTATTCCAGGATTCCAGCTTTCTGGTCTTGCGATGCAAGTCTGTGAGGAATCAGGATGGTCAAGTGTTAGTCCAGTTTGTCTACCAACTGATTGTGGCCTTCCTCCCCATATTGACTTTGGGGGATATGTAACAATCAGCAGTGAAGAAAAGCATTTTGGCCAAGAAGATGTATTCGAAGAGAGCTTGCTTATGGCTAGCCAGTCTTACTTATCTCCAAAAGAAACACACCATTCCTCCAAAGCCATTAATAGTTTGCCACTATCCAGCTATTTATATGGGACTGCAGTGTTGTATAGTTGCTACTCAGGGTATGAACTCTTAGGAAATTCCGTGCTAGCGTGCCAAGAAGATGGAATGTGGAATGGTAGTGCTCCTGCCTGCGTTTCCATTCAATGTGAATTACCACTGTTCCCAGAGAATGGCTTTGTACATTTTACAGAGAACACTGTTGGTAGTACAGTGGAATATTCTTGTAAGCCAGGGTATAAGCTGATTGGATCCAATACAAGACACTGTATGTCTAGGAGACAGTGGAGTGATTCAGCACCAACCTGCAAGATAATATCATGTGCAGTGCCTAGCAGACCCATGAATGGCATAGTAAAAGGAGAATCTTACACCTACGGTAGTGTGGTCCAATATGATTGTGATCATGGGTTTCAGCTAAATGGCTTACATAAGAGAACCTGCCAGTCTGATCAAAAATGGGATGGAAATGAGCCACTATGCATTCCCACTTCCTGTGGCCAAGCTCCCTATTTAGAGAACGGTGAAGTGAGTGGAGAAGAATACACATACCAAAACTATATTGAATACAGCTGCAAAGAAGGTTTTCTGTTGGAAGGGGACCGGAAGAGAGTTTGTCTTGCAGATGGAAACTGGAGCGGGAACACTCCAGCGTGTAGGCCAGTCCAGTGTTCTGAACCAGTGAAACTTGTTCATGGCCAGATAATTGGATCAGAATTCGGCGTTGGAAAGAGAATTAAGTATTTCTGTGCTGAAGGATATATATTGCGTGGCACACCCTTCCGTACCTGCCAGGCTAATGGAACATGGGATAAAGAACCTCCATTCTGTGAACCCGTTGACTGTGGGCCTCCTGAGGACATCTCTCACGGTTTCCTGAATGGTTCTGTCTTCAGTTTTGGGGAATATGTAGAGTATGTTTGCTTCCCTGGTTATGAGTTGCAAGGTAACCCAGTGAGGCAATGTCAGTCAAATGGTTTATGGAGTGGAAGACCCTCTTCTTGTCTGCTTTGTGAGTGCCCTATACCCACCATTCAGAATGGGATAATTATAGGTAACCATTTTGGCTGTGGCAAGAAGATAGAATTTCAATGTCTAGAAGGTTTCAAACTGCTAGGACCTTCAGAAATCACGTGTGAAGCTCTTGGCAGATGGAGTTCTGGCTTTCCACATTGTGGGCTCATTTCCTGTGGCCCTCCACCTGTGATTCCCAATGCATTTATCAATGGAGGCAGTTCAGTGGATCAAAACACCATAATTTATAATTGTGAAATGGGTTATGTGATGCAAGGAAGCTCGGAATTGACTTGTACAGAAGCAGGAGTCTGGAGTAGGCCGTACCCAAATTGCACTTTACTGACTTGTGGACCACCACCTACTGTCCTTCATGCAGTTGCTTTTGGAGAATCAAAAGACTATGGAAGTAAAGTTCAATACAGGTAAGAAGTGTTGATAGTTTCACATATGGATGGATGGATGGATGGATGGATGGATGGATGGATGGCTAAGAGTTTCACAGAGTCTAGAGTTCTCTAATAAAGTTTATGAATACAAAATAATTTCTGAATTACATTGTCAGGAGATCCCCACCATTAATCAGGACTTATACATCCAAATAGGTTGTCCTCAATTGCATTGCAGTAATTAGCTTTTGAATCAATAAGATGCAATTCTGCAGAGCACTATCTGAAGTAGAAGTGAGGCACAGCCAGGAAGCTTAGCAATACTCAGTTCCAGCTATAAGATGAAACTCTCTATGAATGATGTAGTCAATGTGTTACCAGCCTATAGACGTAATTGTCATCAGTCATATTAATTGTCAGGAACTGTTTCTAAGCTTGTTCTTCCACCAAACAAACATTTGCAAGAGTAGGTCCCTGAAGGTTGTTTGTTTTTTTTTAACTGAAATTGCCAGGCACATAATTAAAGGTGAAGAATGATTAACGCAGAATGTACAACAATTCATATGGGTGACAACATTTTACCTTGTTTCAGATGTCTGGAGGGCTATGTGATAGAGACAGAAGTGGATATATGCACCTGTCAGGAAGATGGGCACTGGTTCCCTAACACTATTTCCTGTTGTCCCAGAAAATGTCCCATGCCACCCAATGTAACCAATATTATTATTTCTGGCACTGAATTTACTGTGAATAAAAGCATTACCTTATCATGTCCAGAAGGTTATTTTTTGATGGGTACCAGCACCTCCACTTGCCAGGTAAATATTTTTTTTCTCCAATCTGTTTTGTTTTGGTTATAAAAAGCCCTGTCTTATAGCCATATATCAATACTGTGAGTCTGCCACTAGTGTTGTGTTTATTATAAAGAACGGCACCAAAACTGTTTTCAAAATTATTCTGCCCTTTAAGCTTTTGAATGCCAATAAGGGAAAACTTGGATTCACTACAACTATTGTTTTACAAGATCTTGCAAGATATTTTGAAATGTCTCTTCAGCCAGTTAAAAATCAAGAATGCTCAGAAGGTCACATTCCTCTGACTTAGGTAGCAAAGATCATATTTACCCAAAAATAGAGGCGATTTGTTTATTTTGCTTTGGGATAAAGATGGTTAAAATTGTATGGTCCTGCCCTCAGTAATTTTTTTTTAATGCATTTTGTCTGTCAATGCATTTCATCCTGTGTAATGATTCTGCAGGCATCAACAAAAAAATGATTATCAGGTTTATTATTTAGGATGGAATGACCCAGGCTTCAGAATGTTCGAAATAAAATAGAATGTGATATAATAATTTAGAAGAAAAACTTGCTCCTAATATTTGCTGCTAGTTCTTTCAATAACCTGATATTTGCAATGTTTCAAAAATAATCCAACCCAATAATAACCTTGTGTGAAATAATCTTGTTCTGCTGACATATATGCTATCCAAAAAATCAGAAATCATACTTCCCTTTGTATTAATCTACTGTAGATCTTTGACCCCTATACATTACTGTGCTGCATATCCACAGTTCCTGAAATACCTCAACGTTCCTTTTAAATATTCTTGCATGCACTCTTATACAATTCTGCTTTCTTTCCCTTTTCCAAACCCATCAGTGCACTTTTAATTGAAGTAACATGTAAGCAATTGGCAGCAAACAAATGCCATGCTACATTGCCTATAGCTGGAGTGCAGACAGCTGGAGTATACCGTTTGACATTCCAACTAAGTTATGGAATTTAGCAACACATGTAACATGTGTTATATTTTCCCTGTCTGCCTAAAGTAGCAAGAGCACTGTTCTTCACAAAGGAAAATAAAAAGTGTTCCTTAACATTACAAGGAGTTTGTTTTGTTTGTTGTTTTTATTAGTATTTGTATTAGTTTTTTTCCCCTGCTTTTATTTTGTACGGGGGGGGGATGCAATGGCTCAGCAGTTGAAGATGCTCAGCTTATCAACTGGAAAGTTAACATTCCGGGTTCAAGACCTGGGCGCCATGTAGTGGAATTTTTGTTAGTTTTAATTATATGATATTATTACTATTTTTAGTATTAATATTGTATTGTTTAACAATTAGGTTGTTAATTTGTTTATTATTGTTTTTAATTTTAATTTGTTTAAATTTATGTTAAAGGGGAGTTAAAGCGTGTTATGGACTTGGTTACTTAAATAGTTGGTTAATGTTAGTTAGATTATGATTATTATATTTGTAACCCTGTGTTCAGCTTTGGGAAGTGGGGGAGGGGGGGCTTGGGGGTGGGTTTGGGGGTTTATATTGTAATTTTTATAAAACTTTTAATAATAATAATAAAAAAAAAGACCTGGGCGCCATGTGACAAGGTGAGCTCCTGTTCCTTGCCCCAGTTCCTGTCCACCTAGCAGTTCGAAAGCATGCAAATGTGACTGACAAATAAGTACCACTTCAGTGAGAAGGTAATAGTGTTCTGTGCACCTCGGTGTATAGTCCTGCTGATCACATGACCACGGAAGTGTCTTCGGACAATGCTGGCTCCCTCGGCCAAGAAACAGAAATAAGCTCACCCACCCTAGAATCAGACATAATTGGATAGGAACTACCTTTAACTTTTATTTTGTACAAGTTGAGGTTCTTAATGCTTCCATCTTCTATTTTCTCCTCAGCAACAACTTTAGAAATTGTATTTAGCTAGGAGAGTATAATTGGGTCAAAATTAGCCAGCTGGTTTTCATGCCTATGGGAGAATAGAACTTGCGATCTTATGGTTTTTAGTCCAGCATTGTAATCTCTTTGCTAATCAGGCTCTTCTATATATAATTTAACTTGTCTGTAATTATTTTCATTTTAACAAAGCCAAAGATACTTTCCCCTTCTTTCAGCATAATGGGACCTGGGTACCATTCTTTTCAAATGAGATCTGCGCTCCGGTCTCCTGTGGAAAACCTGAAGCTCCAGAATATGGGATTGTGATTGGCAACCAATACAATTACAAAGATACTGTTCTTTATAAATGCAACTTGGGTTATGAATTAGAGGTAAGTCTATGGAATATTTTCTATAGTCTGCTCCTTTGTGTATCATCCATGCAATATCACGTTAGTTTTAGATCAGGAGAAAGTTAATTCATGAACCTTTTCGCTACAATTGTTTTTTTGTTAGGACAGCTTCTTCCATTCTTGGGTAGAAAATCTGAAAATAAAATACAAATTTGCTACAGGATTATGAAAGGTGCATTTAGGCTTTAGTTGCTGCTTGTCTCACTAAAGAAAAAGATCAAGCCATGTTAAAAAAATTAAATGCAAAAATTGAGATGCTGTGCGCTGCATTAACAGTCAACATGAATGCATCTCCTTCAGGGGAACAGTGTTTAAAATGCTCAGACATTGCTTGCTTATGTTCAGAAGATGGGGGAAAGAGAGACACAAGAAAGTGTTTGATCATAAAATATAGGAATATATATCCTTAATTTTCATGGATTTGTTTTATTAAATAAAATCATAGTGCATCCTAAAGGGAACAAAATAGAGATTATGTGACTAGTAAACACAGGATTCATGGATGCTAGTCAGGGAAGGATCCATTTTTTAACCAAAAAAGCAACAATCTAGTGTTACTTTCCTGTTGCACACTTGTCTGAATGGTGTTAAGTCAGTATTATTGCATTGAAATCTACCAATTAATTCTGCCAAAGCAGCTTTTGCATGAAGGCTTTCAGTATTAGCAGTGGTGGTTATCAAATTCTTAGCATTTAAACATTTACTTCTAAAAATTAAAACATGTTTAAAAATAGCGTACTAAAAATAGGAAAGAGTTGCATTTCATTTGGAAATTTGTCACATATGCCTGTGGTCATCCAGCCCTTTTTTCAATAAAAGAAATTAAGAAAATACCATAGGAAGAATGAAGATGAGGTTTATATTTTTTTTAAAAAATCTATTTCTCACATACAAATGTTATTCCATAATTTATTGCAATGTTTTCCTTACATTTCTATCCAAGGACCAGCAAAGTGGTGAATCATATCAAGAGGAAAAAAAGATTAATAAAATTATTGTTGCAGTATGGTGGGGGTTTTTTAAAAAAAAAAAACACCACAAAATTAATATAGCAATGGAGTAGGGACATTGTTTTCTGAAAATGGAAAACCCTGCCCCCAATGCTTCAATAAAGCAACAAAGGTTTAGCTTGTATATCTTTTAAATGTGCCTTTTATTTATTATGATGGTAGATTCAGGAGAGAAAAGATCAAGCCTTGTAGAAGCCCAAGTTACTGCTCTATAACACCTAAGAGAAAAATGGACATTCTGTTATCAAATGTTAGCTTCTTGTCTTTATTAAATCATGCAGAATGTAAAGCAAAGGCATATCTGTTTTTTTAAAGATTGTGAGAGTATGACAATATGATGGATATATTATGGTGTTTTCTGAACCATTCTCTTGTCTGATAGGGTGATGCAGAACATACCTGTCAAGGAGATAAATTATGGAGTGGAGTAACACCAGTATGTAAAAGTAAGCGATGCATTCCTTTATTTCCCCTCAGGCTTAGCTTGAATGTGATTTAAAGAAAGATAGAAAGACATTCTGTATTTGCTGATTTTGCCTGCGGAAGCTGAACAGTGTTTAACAATATTTAAAATATCACTTATTTATATGAGAATAATGTTGTAATAATAATGCTAGACAGATAAAAATGCCCAATCCAGTCTAAACATCTGGCTCACTGTGCAATGAACTCTAATAATAATAAGGGAAGAGAAAGAATTGGAGATAAATCACAAAATACAAAGACCTGCAAATAGAAGTGGCAAAATTTTTGCCTGTAGCAAATAGCACTTAGACTGTAGCAAATAGCACTTAGACTGCTTCATAGTGCTTTACAGCCTTCTCTAAGAGGTTTACAGAGTCAGCATATTGGCCCTCATCAATCTGGGTCCTTGTTTTACCAACCTCGGAAGGATGGAAGGCTGAGTCAACCTTGAACCGATCAGGATCGAACTCCAGACTGTGGGCAGAGTTTGCCTGCAATATTGCACTCTTAACCACTGCCCACTAGGAAAGCAAAATTAGCACCAATAGGTACTATTGAACAAAGGGGGTACATTTGGAGCTCATATTGAGTTTGATATACCTATTGAATCCACTATATAGATTGCTTATGATTTTAGTAATTACAGGTAGTCCTCACTTAACAACTGCCCCGTTCAAATTTACAATAGCATCGACAAATTTGATTGAGATTAGTGTACCTCACAACCAATTATCTGTTCATGATGATCACAGTGATCTGTGCTCGTGTGATTGCAGTTTGCAGGCTTCATAGCTAGCTTCCAATTAGCAGAATCAATGGAGAAAATGGCAGTGAAACTATAAGTTGAGGTTACGTCTTGCTTAATGAATTGGAATGACTCACTTAACAACCAAATGGGAAGTGATATTGTGAGTCCATCGCAGTCACATAGTATCACTTAGCAATAGAATTGCAGGTCTCAATTGTGTTTGTTAAGCGAGGACTACTTGTAGACATCTGCAAACCCTTTCAGATGAATCGGTCACAGTCCCACTCTTGCCAGCAAAATAATCTATATGTTCACCTTCAGAAATATCCTGTGGTTCCCCCGAACCAATAGATAATGGATCTGTTGTTGGCAAAGACTTTTTACTTGGAGATGAAGTTCTCTACAGTTGTAATCAGGGATATGAGTTACAGGGGCCAACTCGAAGGATCTGTCATGTTAACAAGAAGTGGACGCCATTCGCTCCGACATGTGTGAGTAAGTAAAAATCCGTGCACATTGGCAAAAAAATCATGTCCTAAGCATACAGCCAAAGAAGAAATAGAATAAGTAATAAATTTCAGAAGTAAGGATTCTTTTTTTTTTTTAGGCATAAGATGTGAAGCCCCTCCAACAGTAGCAAATGCATTTTCCATAGCCACAGAAAATATGTACAGAAGTAATATATCTTTTGTATGCAATTTCGGGTATCACCTACGTGGACCTGAGGACATCACCTGCTTGGCCAATGGATCCTGGAGTCAACCCCTTCCAACATGTGAAGGTGATTATGGGGTTTTGTTTGTGGGGCTTGTGGCTCTTCTAGATTTGTTGTGTCTGGAATCTATTCTAAGCCAATTTGCTCAATATAGTACCCCAATCCTTATATGTGTTGTAATGCTCCAGCATTCCATTTCAAAAGTTTATAACAGTTTACTTATTATTATTTTTAAATGTTAGTATGATGTTATTATTAGTGTGTTTAATAACTGGATATGGGTCTAAAAGAGTGGTGTGTTTTTTTAGTGAAGTTTAGAATGTCATTGTTGCTTAAATGATAAAGAGAGTACTTAAAAATCTGGACGTAGGAATTGAGATATTAATTTTGGAAATAAGAAAAAAATATATATATATTTTTCCTGCTTTTTAATCTAACTGCAAGAAGAATGAATAAGGTTTTTCTCTTCTTTGATTGATTTTGTTTAGGGAGCAATTTATTATATTAATAATAGAGTAGATTATAGACCATTATTGTTGTTTAAATGTTATAACAGTTTACTTATTATTATTTTTAATTGTTAGTATGATGTTATTATTAGTGTGTTTATTAACTGGATA